AAGGCTCTACCAGGCCCAGGCTCCTGTAACGACTGCAGCAGGGAGGCTATGGGATTCCAGAACAGGAGCCCAAGCTGCTTCCTCAGAGCCCCAAGACTAGTGGCTACCCCTGGACTTCAGGTAGACCCATTCTGTTTCTCACACCAACATCCCACTGTCCTTTGTGAATGTCGGAAGCATAAGGGATAAGCCAGCAGTAACCAGAACCCTACACAGGCTGACAAGAAACTGTGCTCACTGGGAGGAAAGCCACCAACTGCTAAGCAGAATGCGCAGCAGGATCTGGTGGCAGATGCAGACATGGGCACTTGGAAGAAAACACGCCCAGCTATGAACGGCTGACACCCAGAGATGGGATGTGAGCTCACTTGCTACTTTCTGTCTCTGATGCTTTCTGGAGTTAATGTGCCTAAAGGAGAGGGCTACTTGCTGACCACCCTCACCCCATTAACAAGGGGGCTCCGAGAACAGGAACCCGGAGATAACATGTCCAGCCCCCATCTTCAGCTGAGCTTCGTCACTGCGATGACAAGGACACAGGGCTGACGGAAAAGGCCTGCTGAGTGCCGGGACAGGAGGGCGACCCCAGGGCCACTCTTCCTGCCCCATCCTATGAGTTCAGCCCCTTCACCTTCTGTGTCCCATAACGATCATGCGAAGCTTGTCCCCAAGGTCCTGCATCTCGTGGATCTGGACAAACGTCCCAGTATGGTACACTTCATCCAGGCTCTCCACCACGTCGGACTCGTTGCTGAGGGAGAGGGACACAAAGCGACATCAGGACAGGGCCTCTGACTCTCAGTGGGCTTCTCAGGCTAAGAGGGAGCAGGGAGAAGAAACACCCTCACTGGCTTTGAAAACTAGCAGCAACGGCATGGTTCCCACAGGGGCTCCAGGGATGAGGGCTGCCACCAGTGGTGACAGCACACTGGTGAATCCAGGCCCAGTGAGCCGGGAGTGGGGTGGGATGCAGACAGAATTCTGATTCCAGTCCACACTCCCATTACCAAGTCTGCTTAGCATGTAACTTAACTGGGAAGTGGAAGTACTTCCTACCACGAAGGTACCAGAGCCGCGATATTTGCCCACCTACTCTGCTTAAGTGGGCTCCCAGGGGTGTTAACATTAAGGGTCCTGGAGGTTAAGATCCCCCCACATTCTGACTGCATAAGGCCTAGAGCTGCAGCCAAGTCCTCAGCCCAGACTTAAATGCTATGCTTGGCTCTTGGCCTTGTCCCCTGGCTTGGTTTCTTTCAAGTCAAGGGTCAGCGGTGAGGGCTGCTCTGAAACAGGATTTATAGTGAGCTACACTCCCAGGCAGCTTCAACAAAGGTGTGAAGGAAAAATTACACTTACTTGTCATCTTTCTTTAGAAAGACACCGGCATAAGGCTGGGCAAGGCGGACTTTCCTTCTTAGCAGCTCAACCAACTTCTTATTTTTAACCTAGCATGACAATGACCCCAAAGTGAAATGCAGGGTAGGTTTTCTAGCTGACATTTTGACAGTAGCTCTAGTGTTTTCTGTATGATTCTCTGGGGATGATCTAATCTGATGCAGGAAACTAATGAAGATGGTCCCGGAATCTCTGAAACTTAAAAAAATAAATAAAAGACAATTTATTTATTAAAAAATAAATAAAAGGACTAGCGGCACTCCTCAGTGGCTCTCCCCTCTCCTAAAGAAAACTCCAAAGGGACAAATGGCAAGAACCAAAAACTGAGTTAGCCTCCAATTTCAAGAGCTATTTCAGTGGTGAAATTTTTGTTTGAAAATCTAAACCATTCTGATTTACCAGAGTCAGAACGATGATGCTAGTTCAAATACAGCTTACCCAGTTACCCCAAAATGGGGTAATTTCCTCCACTTTTCATTAAAAGTATTTCCCAATCACATCTCTATCCCACTCATCAATCATCAAATGTCCCAGGGTCACAGGACATTCTCGATGGCAAGTAGGGATTCACGATATTTTCTAAGAAACGGTGGTGGGGGCAGGTGAAACTGCATAAATGTCTTTACGGCTCAACTGATTTCTTTCCAGGCCAGATCTTACTAAGTTTAATGACTCCCAAATTTTAGCGAGCCTCACAACTGCAGGGAGAACTTTTTTAAAAAGAGGATTGCGTGCCACCCCCAGGAGTCTCTAATTCAGGTGTGGGTGGGGCTCCGGAATCTGCATTTCAAATAAGCTCCCAGGTGATACCCACCCATGCTGTTGGTCCAGGTGATACCCACACCGAGAATTAATGTTTCAATTCACTCTCCAACAGGGGTGTTAATTTATTCCTGACGACATGAATGTATGTTTTCCCTACAAGAAACACCCACTAGGAGTATACATGACCCATCAAAAATTAAGAACCACTGGCTTATACAGTAAGTCCTCGCTTAACATCCATGAGACCGCAACTTTAAGCAAAACTAAGTATAACAAAAGCAGGTTCCCATTCGTTGTTTTGTTCAAGGTCAGCAAGGGCTATCTTTTTCCCTTTAATATTATGATAAAACAACCTTAAAGGATTTGCTGTATTCAGAGGCCATCGAGAGAAGCTATTTGGAAAAGTTAGCCACCAATGGTGTCAACTACAACATCAAGCCACCTTTGTTAACAAGTTCAGAAACATTCATTGGGCCCCACAGGTTTACCCATTTCTCTGCTAACAGCAGGTGCATCTTAGCACCTGTCCCTGCCCTTTGGCAGGATCCCTTTTTGTTATTTACAAAGTAACAGAAATAGTTACAGTCTCACCCTATCCACACCAACCCATTTAACGCTCATGACTAGCTCAGGGTAGATAGGCAGAATCTCTGGAAGAATCATCTCTCGGCTTGGGGGTGGGGGAGATGAGGGGTGGGGTAAGAGGCATCTGCCACTTTACAAGGCTGAGGAGATCAGAAGTGGGAATAGTCCTGTCCCCAGAAGCTTAGGAGAGCAGAGAGGATTGCTGGGGGTGGGGGCAAAGACAGAAGAAAGGCCTCCATCTCAGAAGTACCCCAAACAGGAAACAGCAGCAGTTTCCCATTGAAGCCTAGGAAGCACCAGACAGGGCTCTAAATCCTTTATACATGGGAACCCATTTATGTCCCATACAACCCGAAGAAATGAGGCACTATTATGATATCCATTTTGCAGATGAGAATATGGAGGGATAAAGGCACAGCTTGCCAAAGATATAGACCTAGGGGTGATGGAGCCAGAGTATGAACCCACAAAGTCTGGCTCTGTGCCCAGAGAGTTACCACTACTTAGCACCAAGGAAAAGCCCTGGCTCACCCAATTGACAATATGGGAGAGGAGGTGGAAAGAGGCTCCTTTTATTCCCCCCACTGACTGGCTGCTGCCCCTCGGTATTGCCTTTTTCCTTTCCAAGGGATTACTGAGATTTATTTAGCAGAGACTGCAGTGTGTGCGTGGTGAGGGAGGGAGGGAGGGGAGATGAAGCAGAGGCTGACTCACTGTATGACCTTGCTTTGACAGTTAACAGATAACCTTTCTCCTCCATGGACTCCAGTTTCCACTTGGGGGAACTAAAAAAAGTGGGGAAATGGAAGGCATTTGGGTCCTTCCTACATTAAAAAGTCAAACTCAAGTTCCTTGCATTCTTGTTGCTTTCACTCTATTACATCATCCTATTCCACCCCTCTTCCCCTTCTTTATGGATCTTAGTCTGATATCATCTTTTGTTAAATCTCTTTTCATCGGAACCTAAGTTCCTTAGAGCTTGCGTTTGATTTGGTAGCTGCACTATTTAGTATCCGCTACAGGTAGGTCAAGAATACTATGCTAATGAATAAAGAACATCCTCCCACCTTCCAAAGTTTTCCCTTGCTATTACTTGTAGTAGGAATTGCCTTCCAATACATAATTTACTTACTAATCTTGTCTATCACCTTTCATAATTCGCTAGAGTGTAAATTCCAAATGCAAGGATTTTTCTTGTTCCTTTTCATTTGTGTCTCTAACGTTTAGAACTATACTTGGCACATGTAAGCGATCTAGAAATGTTTAAATAAGGAAAGCCTCCTGATCCCAAAGGGACTTGTAGCTGTACGGCAGATCTCCCGGGGGGCCGAGGGCAGGGAGAGGGGTCGTTGGGCCCCAACATAGTCCTGGCTCTCTCAGTGCCGGTTTCTATGACTCGAACTCTAAGTAGGCGGTCATAAGCTCACTGGGCTCAACTGCCCTTAAGGGCTCTGAAAGAGGGAGAAGTTTGTCTCCAGTTCATCAAGCTAGTGGTGAGCAGACAAGAATTCGAACTCCAGCATTTAATAAGCTTCGCGTCTTAAAAGATTGCGACGCACGAGGGTGCTGGGCGATTCCCTCCGTTCAAACCGCTGCTTGCACAGATGGGGAAACAGAGGCCAAGGCGGGGCTCTCATTACCTCGATAATCTTGATAAAGCGCGGGAACACCGGGTTACGAGTAACGGCGATGAGCGGTAGGTGCGGGAACACGTCCGGGATCGTCATGGGCGTCAGCGCCGTTATGACCGGGCCTTCCCCTCCGCCCGAGCTGCCCCCCGCGCCCGTGGTCCCGTCTTCCGCGCCGCCCTCGGGTGCATCCTCGCCGCTTGAGAATGAGCCGCCGCTCCCGCCGCGGCTGTTCGCTTCCCAAAGCTCCCGCCACTGGCCCGCGGATGCGGGGCTTCGGCCCCACAGCGCCCAGGGAGGCGAGGCGTCGCAGGCCCGCCGGCCTCTGGGGAACCACGCTCCGGCGGCAGTCGGGACCCTGCCCCCAGCGGCGGCCAGCAGCGGCCGCCGCAAGGCCCAACACCGCGCAGCTCCCCACAGCCGCACGCAGCCTGCGCCCGACGCCATGGCCCGGCCATCCTGGCGGCGCGCGGAACTTGCGTCACTTCCGCGGGCCGGGCTGCAGCGCACGTGACGTCGGGCACGTGCCTCAGGTCTGTAGTCGGCGTGCGCGCAACAGAGGGAGGGGCGTGAGGGGGTGGGCGGGACCGAGGGTGGGCGGGGCCCTAGTTCCCTCATTACGTCCACCCCTTCCGGTGTCCCCTTCACGTGGAGGACTGAGGCCAAGTGCCCGAACCCCTAGAAAAAGAGCTGTTGCTGCACGCGCGGCTTTGGGAACACACGGGCAGGCTTAGGCAGCGCTTAGATGCCTGGGCGCCCGGTGAGAGGCCATGCATGGTTAGAGTCTGGGGCAGGTCACGGGCGGCGGATTCGGTATTCCCGGGAGGCGCTACGCGCATGCTCAACGTGTCGCCCGCCCCGGGCGGCCGGTGCGTGGCCCCGGCTCGGGGGTGCGGAGGCAGCGGGCGCATGCGCAGACTCCCGGCCGCGCGCGCCGGGGTGCGCATGCCCAGATTCTAATCTGCGCCTGTGGAGAACCGGGAGGCCAGCCCCGCGGCGGTTGAGGGGCTGCTGCGGCGGCGGGACCTGGGAGACATGTTGGTGTGGATGCTCTTGGCGGCGACTTTGCAGCCCTGGCTGCTGGCCAGAGCCCAGTCCTTGTGCCGGTGGGGCCGCCCTTCTCGGGACAGGGGCTGCCGGGGGGCTGAGGGGGACTGGGTCCTCGAGCTCAGCCTGGGCGGAACCCAGGAAAGACGCTGGACCCCCCAACTTCATTGAGGCTTTTCAGTTCGTTTGCTCTTGTAGGCGCTGAACTTGCGCTCCTCCAGCCCATCACCGGGTCATCGTGGCCACTTGAAAACTTTCCTCCTATTCCGACCCCTGCAAACCGCCTCCGTTGCCACCTCCCTGGCTCGTTCCTCCTGTTTAGCTCCCGCCCAGCAGCCTCAGGGATTATTTTTACACGAGTCTGCGTTTCCTTGCATGATCTGACCCAGCCTTTCTCAGTTGCAGCGCGACTGACGTTTGGGGCCGATCATTCTTGGGTGGGCTGCACATGTGGTGTGTTGAGCAGCATCCCTGCTCTCCACCCGCCGGATGCCGCACACAAATTCCTCCCTGGGCTTGACTGTTAAAAATGTGATTTGACAACCAGTAATTTGCCTCTGACCCTCCCTTGAATAACGGCTCCAGTTACCCCATCTAGTAAACAGGCTTAACGTAGTCCAGAGCCTTTGGGGGTGGCGCGAAGGGGAAATCTTGGCATTTGCTGCTGCTCTGCCTGGCACGCTTTGCCTCCAGATTGCTCCATAACTGGTTCCTCATTATTCAGATCCCGACTTACACACATTTCCTTACTTAAAGCCGCGCTCCTTCCCGTAGATGTTTTTTCTTATGTCACTAAATTGTTTTGTTTTTGGCAATTTTTTTTTTTTTTTGGTGTGTTCCTGTCACTAGAATATTAGCTTCGTGGGGTTGTAAAGTTTATCTTATTCACTCTTTAGTCAGTACATTTTAAAATTTAGGTAAATATTAGATTAGTGAATATGCAAGATGCCTAGGGGACTAGACCTGCCAACACCCACTCCCTGGCATGGAGAAACTCCTACCTGGAGTGAGTTGTCACATTCTGCAGGCCTTGTTTGTTGATGAAATAGTGAGGGACCTCTTCTGGAGTGTGGCCTACACTGAGTTTCATGGAGTAGTGATTCCTTAACCTTATTTTATAGATGTGAAAACAGACTCAGCAAAATTACAAACACATTTGCCCAAAGGTACACATCTAGTGTGTGTGCAGTAGGGTTTTCCTGGGATTGATTGTCTCCAATTGTTCCATTTCCCCACACTGGTCCTCAAAGTATGGTCTTGAATTAGCAGCATCAGCCTTACCTGGGAATTTGTGGCATTGCAGTTCTGCTGAATCAAAGACTTGGGAGGGAACCAGTAATCTATGGTTTATCAAGTTATTCAAATGCCTCTGATCTACTTCCAAGATTGAGAACCCCTGCTGTAAACTATTCTTCGAGCCACCAACATCTCCCCATCCTAAAAAGAGAAGAAGAAAACTACAAAGTAGGAGTCCCTAATTTTCCTAATCTGCAACTGAACCTTCATGAGCACTTAGGATTTTATCTCCATTCTTGTGTAGGCATATGTCTGTTTCTGGGAGAGAAATGTCCCCAGTTTCATCAGGTTTTCCATGGGCTACCATGACCCTAAAAACATAAAAAAATAAAGTTAACCTGGAGGCACCCTGGTGGGCATCATGCCAAGTATTCAATAAAAATTGACGGATGGTCTCTTGTCCTTTACCTCCAGTGTTCACACGGTGAGGACAGGAAAGGTGTTTCATAACACAGAGCAAGTTGAAGGGGTACGTGACTCCATGCTTAACATTCATTCCTCTCTTCTATCACTGGGTCAGAACCAGCATTTTCCAGTATTTCTTGGGTGCTAGTATTGTGTCAGGCTTAGAACACTAACGCTTACTTACCATTGCCCTTCGAAGTAGTAATGTCTCTTGCCATTTCACAAGGGGGGGGGGGGAAGCTTAAGAAAGATCAGAGAGGGGCTTCCTTGGTGGCACAAGTGGTTAAGCTTCAACACAATGAAGCAGTCTGCAGCCACTGCAGCACAAGTTTAACCCCCAGCCAGGGACGTAGCCCAAGTGGCGCAGCAGACCTCTCCTGTCTCGTATTCTTTTTGAATATTTTTAAATTCTGTTGTACTTGACACTTAAACAATATGGGCTAGGGGTGCTGGCCCCCCAAGCACTTAGAAATCTGTATGTAACAAATTTCAACTATCCAGAAACTTTACTAATAGCTTGCTGTGATGGGAGGCCTTATCAATTGCAATCGATAGGTACATATTTTCTATAATATACATGGTATTCTTACAATAAAGTAAGCTAGGGAAGAATTAGGAAAATCATAAGAAAAATATATTTATTAAAAAAAATATGCATCTAAGTGGTCCCTCACAGGTCAAATCCATGTTGCTAAAGATCAACTGTCCTTTGTTTACATGACATATTGCAACAGGAAACTTACTGTACCCCCCCAACCTGGAATCTTAACTTTCTATTTTGATTATAAGTATAGATTCACAACTAATTGCAAAACTAGTCTAAGAGGTGTCCCACAAACCCTCACCCAGCTTCCTTCAGGGTGGCAGCTGAAGGAACCCTAGTATAGTTGGTCCTTGAACAATGTGCATTTGAAATTTTAGGGTCCATCTATCCAGTAATTTTCTTATAAACAGATGATATGACCTTATGGTATAAGCAAGTATAGTACAGTATACTGCAAATTCGTTTTATGACTTTCTTAATAATTTCTTTAGCTTACTTAACTGTAAGAATACAATATACAATACATATAACCTAAAACACATGTTAATCGGCTATTTATGTTGTCAGTAAGGCATCCAGTCAACAGCAGCCTATTAATAGTTAAGATTTTGGAGAATCAAAAGTTATATGTGGGTTTTTTCTTATGTGGGGACTCAGTGCTCCTCACCCCTGTATTGTTCAAGGGTTAAGTGTGTAACAGGAAAATGGCATTGACACAATCCACCTAGCCAGTTCAGATTTCATCTTTACATTTTCACTATGGCACAATGGGAAGTTGTTTTTCTTGGGTGTTGATTGTTATTGACATGAAGATCTTGTCACTATGTCTCTAGGACCAGCTGTATTTTCCATCTACAACACCACGCTTGTTTCTACATCCTTGTGAGAAAGATATAGCCCTGTATTTAGGGTAAGTGAACATTTTATATATTGTTAAATTCCTTTTTATTAAAATGTTAGATTTTTCCTTATTTATTCAATAAATATTAAGGAAGATGCCTCTGTCCTGTGTTGTTAGTCGCTGGCCTGCAGGGAATTCATAGTTGGGTTAATTACAGGCGAGTGTAGTGCCACTCCTGGGGATTTGGGAGACTGAGGAGAGAATGTTTCATAAGGTTATTCTGCTGAAGGAATGATGCCCTAACTGGGTTTTGAAGGATGAAAAATTCACCATAAGGGAAATGAGAACCAAATATGAATGGACATAGAGCATTCAAAGGAGTGGAAACACCATGCCCAGTATGTACTTGGGGTGTCAGGTGCAAGGTTAGAAACCAGATATATGAGCCTCCCTGGTAGCCTAGGGGTTAAGTCTCAGAGCAATCATCCCTGTTGATCCCCCGCCAAGGAGCTAACCTCTCCTGTCTCGCCCAGTGCTCCCCTCAGCAGTGTATTTCAGTAAATCACCTGTTCTGCTCCGCACTCTGTGTATGGTGAACCCCCCCCCTCTCTCTCTCTCTATCTCTCTCTCTCTCTCTCTCTCACACACACACACACACACACACACACACACCCCACACCTCTGGCCTAGACCCCAGTTCTTCTATGCAAGAAAAAAAAGAAAGAGATAAAGTTACAATAGATGTGCAGAAACACAAAGGATCACAAGAAATTGTTATAAACATCTATATGCAAATAAATTGGATAACCTAGAAGGAACCAATTATTAGAATCAGACAACCTTTCAAGATGGACCAGCTTGAAGAGACCAATCACAAGCACAGAAAATGAAAGAATAAACAAAATGCTCCCTATGAATAAAAGCCCAGGATGAAATGCTTTACTAGTGAAATGCTTTACTACTATACCAAACCTTAAGAAGACCTAATACCCAATGTCCTTCTCACACTCCAAAAAGAAATTGAAACAGGAGGAAAACTCCCAACACATTTTATGAGGTCTACACTACCTTGATCAAAAAAGACAATATTTAAAAAAAACCTATAGACCAATAGCATGGATTGAACACAGATACAAAATTCCTCAACAAAATCTTTGCAAATAGTATCTAGCAATATATATATATATATATATATTTTAAAAGATTTATTTTATTTATACAAGAGCCAGGGTACAGGCCAGATGCGCAGGAGGGTGAAATGATTCACCGGAGACAGAGCGGGGGAACAGAACAGGCAGACTGACTGAAAAAAAATACACTGCCAAGGGGAGCAGCAGGCGAGACAGAAGAGATCTGCTCGCCATCTGGGTTGCTCTGAGGCCAGCTGAGATGGAACCTGCACTGCAGAGGCCGCTGACAGCTTCACAACACTGCGCTCAAGTGCCTGCGCCACCAGGGAGGCCCAGAATCTAGCAATATATTAAGAGAATCATTCATCGTGATTAAGTGGGATTCATTCCAACAATGCAAGACTCATAGGCAACATAGGCAATCAATCAGTGATACTCATCATACCAACAAAAAGAAAGATAAAAATCATTATTATTTCAATACATGCTAAAAAGCATCACAAAGCTACAGGTAACATCATACTCAATGGTGAAAAACTGAAAAGATCTTCCCTAAGATCAGGATAAAGTTTTGGTGGAGGGTGCATATGTGGGGGTGTGAAATTGCATTCCCAAAATTATTTAGTTATATAATGGTTGGCAAGGAATAATGCATAATGTAACATATAAAAAGTAAAATAGGATGGTGGGTACCATCCTATAATGCAACATAAAAAAAAAATAAAATAGGATGGTGGGATGGAGAGTTGGTGTTTAATGGAGACAGAGTTTCAGTTTGGAAAGATGAGAAAGTTCTGGAGATGGAGGGTAGGGATGGTTGCACAAACACATGTGAATATGCTTAGACAAGGCAATTATGAAAAATGCCCTTAACAATTGTAACTAAAACATTAAACTACATAGGTTTTAAGGCAGGAATTCATTTTTGTTGAAAACTATAAAACTCTTCTAAAGGAGAGAAGTAACCTAGATAAGGAATAGATAAACCATATTCATGGAGCCTTTGAATTCTTAAAAGTTTCCTGCAAGAGGGGACTTGTTTCTATACACACAGTTTTTGTCTGAAGCCATTTATTTTAGTGGGATTAGAGCACTGAAGTTCCTCTTGAGCAAGACAGACTGTCACTTAATATACATCTGATATATTTTTATATTTGACATAGTCACAGTTTTAAAGTAATGTTATTTGAAGAAGTCAAACACCCACACTTTAGATGTTTATGGAAGAAGGGATGAGGGAGCAAGGGAGCAAGGGAAGAAGGGGGGGCAGGAGGGATGGAGGGGGGCAGGAGGGAAGGAAGGCCTACATGGTTCCTTCCTAAAAAGGAATTTTGTTTCGAGTGGGGTAGTTTTACAGTACTTGTTATGGTCTTTCTTTTCTTTCCTCATGTGAACTTGTCCTAATTTAATTTTTTTCATTGTTTCAGAACAGAAGTTTTTCTCACAAAAGATGGATTTACAAGTAGCATCCTTCCATTTTCCATCCCTACATCAATGATGGTAGTTATTTTACTGAATAATCTGAAGGATGCTTGAAATAAGTAATACTGATGGGGAAGATACAGTTTGGAAATATCACACTAATCTGTTTTTGTTAGTTTGCTGTTTATTTTATGACATACCTCTTGAAAACGTTGAGGCGCAGTTTCTAAGCCAAAAGAATGATTGATTCAATTTGGCCCTTACTACCAAAATAGGCTTTTTTTCCCCCAGAAAATAAAAAGGAAGCAGAATGTTGCAAGTACTCCCTCTACTGGTTGTGTGTTATGAATAGATGGATCACACACACTAATTTCAAGTCCTCCTTAACTTGTTCTAAACCAAAGTAGAAATCTTTCAGAAAATGTGTGGGAAAATTCTAACATTGAACCCGAAAGAAAGTTTTGTCATTGATTAAAATATCAATGACTTTCTTTGAAGTGATACTTTAGTTATTCATCATTTCAAACTTCGGGTTTTATCCTCAGAGAAGGCTCTCATAAGGGAGAAGGAAGTGAGAAGAATTTAGGTATCTGAGGGCACCAAACACTAACTTCAACCTCCTAGTTTTGAATACAACTCACTCCAGGATACACAGTTCCCAATATCTAGGAACCAAACAACTCTTGCTGACTTAAGTGTTTCTCGGATGTGTGTTTAGAACTGTCGCCTTCTGAATCAGTGTCTGATAAAATGCGCTTATTAGAATTGTTTTTATGACTATTTTTAGGTTGGCAAACCAGAAGTCACATCAGCACATTTTAGTACTGGAACAGTGGTCTTAGTCGTGAATCAAAAAGTTTATGTTTATGATTATGAAGGTGATAGGTGGCATAAATCTTCAGGTATGTGTGCTTTATATTTTTTATCTTCTTGATTTCAGCCAACATCAGAGAAAAGGTTCCTACTTTTGGAAGTGCAAGCTATATTGCTACATGGCTATCAGGCCCTAGACATTACTCTCTCCTTTGAAATTCAGATAAAAATTGGCCCAATTCCCACTCCAAGGGGTACGAATCTAGTGTTTTCCTTAGGGATTGTAGTTGCAAGTCGTGAAAAGCTGGTCTGACTGATTGAAGCAAAGGAGGGACATCAGCAGGACTTGTAAGGGATTAGAAATTGGGAAGGATTAGAGGAGCCAAATATGACTCCCAGCTGCCTGTTGACAGAGCTGGGTGATGGGAATTTTGAGTCTCACACACAGTCATGCGTTGCTTAATGACAGAAACACATTCTGAGAAATGTATCCATAGGCAATTTTGTAGTTGGGTCATGTCATAGAGGGCAGTTACACAAATCTCGGCATTTAGCCTACAGCACAACTAAGTCATATGGTACAACCTAACGGGTCCACTGCTATGTATGCAGCCTGTCATTGACAAAGCATCACTAAGCAATGACTGGACTTCACGTTATGTGTGGGGAACAGGGGTGAAGGTAAGTTTTGTGAAGAGAGAGAAAGAAGAAAACTCTGATGTAAGAGGCAAGGAGGGAGACATTAGCTTTAGAAAAGAATGTTGAAGCTGTTATTAAAATAGATCCTTCTTTTTTCCTGAAAAGGGGGAGGAAGCAAGAGATCAGTACAAGGTTTCTCAGCCCTGGCACTGCTGACATGAGTGCTGAGTCACTCTGTAGGGGGCTGCTCTGGACACTGTGGGGGTGTTGAGCAGCATCCCAGGCCTCAACCTTCCCAATGCCAGGAAGATGTCCCCCCCAACCCCCGCCATCGTCCTGAAAATAGAAATGTCCCCAGACATTGCCTAGTATATTCTGGGAGTTAAAATCCCCTCAGATGAGACATACCCAGTTGGTAGATCTCCATTTGGAATTTGTTATTTTACTTCACTTGTACAGTAAGTTCTCCCATAACAACATCAACAAGTTCTTGGAAACTGACTTTAAGCAAAAACAATGTATAGCAAAACCAGGTTTACCACAGGCTTACTGACAGAAACTAGTTAAGTTCCTAGAGCATATTTCAGGACACAAACATTATCACCAAACCTCTAAATAAACACCTAAAACACTTCTAATATTCAACAATCATCTGGATTCATTCATTCTCCACCCTGCAATTCCAGTTCAGGATCTCAGGGGGCCAGAGCCCATCCTGGCAGCTGAGAATACAAGGTGGCCTCTAACTGTGGACAGGGCCCTCACACCCACACACACTCAGACTGGCGCAATGTAGACTAGCCAGTGAACCTCACCAGCAGATCCTGGGGATGTGGGCGGAGACCAGAGTTCCCAGAGAGAATGTGTAAACTCCACACAGCAGTGGCACTGGCTGGGAATCAGTTGTTTCTTTTCTCATCAGTATTATAACAAAGTGAGACAGTGTGATTCAAGGATGTTCTGTACTAGTTGTTTTGCTATTGTTGTTTGTTTGAAAACTGTGGCCAGACTAGGTGGTGCCTTGCCCTAGTCATGCAGCACTGCCAGGTGCTTGCCAAAGTTCACTGCTGGTGAACTGGCTACTCTCATCAAGATGACTGGGTAATCCTCAGTGAATGGATACTTGGACTGTCTCATGCACCTTGGCTGAGTACTGTAAATCAATAGGCCCATGGAGGATGTATGTAGTGTCTGTCTCAGCTTATTGATAATGCTAGTGGCAAAAAATGCCTGGGAACACTCACCTGGACCTCATGAATTTCCCGTAGACATTTTCCCTCTTATGTCACTATTAGGACTGTTATGGCCTCTAGGGTTCTTCTTATGATTGAAAGGTGCCCTTCAGAAACCATTAGAAAACTTGGGGAAAAATAGAGGTTAATTATATACAAGACCTGAAAATTCCACAGCATACCTGGGCCACAGGTAGAGTTGGGGGTTTGGTGGGGTCCTTCTATTACTGGGGCTAAATGTGGGGGGGTCTAGGGTTTCACAGGCACATTCTTTATTGGTGAATTTAAATCATAAGAGTGGAATTGAAAATATGGGAAGAAAGACAAAAGGAGGGAAGGAAACAAGCCAGCCCCAACTGACCAGTTACCTGAATCAACCAGGACCTATGAAACAGGCCTCCCATCCCCACATCATCGCTCTCATCTGGTCACATGACTGGCAATGTGTTTGTCTGAGCCAGGCCTCTTTAAGGTGGATGCCTCCACAACAAAACTTAAGTCAGACACCTGCATCACACAAGGATTTACAACACTTGTGTGTAACACTGGGGCCAGTCTTGGAACCATCTTATCAATTTGTCATACACAAACCCAACACACATCTGCCTTTAAAACATGAATAGGGCCTCCCCAGTGGCGCAGCGGTTGAGCGCTGGGTTGCGAAGCTGCCCGCGGCCTCTGCGGCGCCGGTTCGATCCCCGGCTGCTCCCCGGCCACCAGAGGAGGGTCCCACATGGCGCGCAGACCTCTCCTGCCGCCCGCTGCTCCCCTCAGCAGTGTACCTCGGTCCTTCTGCCTGTTCTGCTCCCCGCTCTGGCTCTGGTGAATTCTCTCACCCTCCCGCGCTTCTGACTGTACCCAGTGCATGTATAAACAAAACAAACAAACAAACAAATAAATAAATAAATAAACATGCCTTTAAAAAAAAATAAAAAAAAAAATGAATAGACCTACTCTTTACAGAACTTCCTCCCTACAGTTAAACTGCCTGAAAATTCTTTTTACTTGCCACCTTCCTCTCTTCTGATGAAATTTGCCCTCATTCCCCCTCCTCTCCTGATGTTCCAGATCAATTCTTTTTTTTTTTTTTTTTTTTTTTTTTAATTTTATAGAGGCATGTTTATTTATATTTATTTATTTGTTTGTTTTGTTTATACATGCACTGGGTACAGTCAGAAGCACGGGAGGGTGAGAGAATTCACCAGAGCCAGAGCGGGGAGCAGAGCAGGCAGAAGGACCGAAGTACACTGCTGAGGGGAGCAGCGGGCGGCAGGAGAGGTCTGCGCGCCATGTGGGACCCTCCTCTGGTGGCCGGGGAGCAGCCGGGGATCGAACCGGCGCTGCAGAGGCTGCGGGCAGGTTCGCAACCCAGCGCTCAACCGCTGCGCCACTGGGGAGGCCCAGATCAATTCTTTTCTCTCTCACTGTTCATGATGTTTTTCTTTTGGGGGCAGGGGGCATAAATTTGCATAAATTTCATCACTTTAAAGTGTATAATTAAAAAGTATTTAGTATATTTACAATGTGGTACAACCATTACCACTATCAAGTTCCAGAACATTCCATCACCCCCAAAAGAAGCCCCATCCCCACTAAATAGTCACTACCTATTCCATCTCCTCCCAGGCCCCAACAACCATTAGTCCACTTTTTGTCTGTTGATTTGCTTGTTCTGGACATTTCACATCAGTGGAGTTACACTGTGGTGTTTTGTGTCTGGCTTCTGTCACTGAGCATCATATGTTTTTAAGGTCCATCCACATATAGACTGTGTCAGAACTTCACTCCCTTTTATGGCCAAATAATATTCCATTGTATGGCTGGAACACTTGTTTATTTATTCATCGGCTTGTGGACATTTGAATTCTTTTCCCGTTATGGCCATTGTAAACAGTGCTTCTGTGAACACTGTGTATGAAATTTTGTGTGGACTTGTGTTTTCAATTGTCTTAGGGAGAGGCTTAGGCATGGAATTGCTGAGTTACATGGAAACTCCATATTTAATTTATTAACTAACCATCAGGGATTTTTACACTCTAAGTCTATCTAGTCTTGTCCTTCTCTCCATTAATTTCTTGACTAGTGGGCCTCCCCTGGTGGCACAGGTGGTTGAGTGCCGTGCTGTAAAGCTGTCTGCAGCCTCTGCAGCGCCAATTAGATCCTGGCCGGCCGGTGAGAGTCCCACATGGCGCAGCGGACCTCTCCTGTCTCGCCCGCTGCTCCCCTCAGCAGTGTATTTCATCAGTCTGCCTGTTCTGTTCCCTGCTCTGTCTCTGGTGGATCCTCTCACCCTCCCGTGCCTCTGGCCTGTACCCCAGCTCTTGTATTAAAAATAAATAAATAAATCTTAAGAAAAAAATAATCCTTGACTAGCATCCAAAGAGCTAATTTCACCCTAGTCCATAGCGCCACCATTTTACTTTCTGTCTCTATGAACTTGACTACCATAGGGGCCACATATGATTTCTCCTTAACATGTTGGATACACGTAGCCTGTGTCAGAGACTCACTCCTTTTATGGCTAAATAAGATTTCATTGTATGGGTGAACCACGTTTTGTTTATTCATTCATCTGGTGATGGGCATTGGGTTGCTTTTATGTTTTAGCAATTGTGAATAATGAAGCATATGTACAAATATCTCTTTGAGTCTCTGCTCTTAATTTTTGGGGGGTATATGCCACAATAAATGAATTTTTGGGAATTAGGGATCATATGGTCCTTCTGTTTTCAATTTCTAAAGGACCCTCCACACTGTTTTCCACACGGCCTGCACCATTTTACATTCCCACCAACTGTGCACAGTGTTCTCTCTTCTCCACGTTTTCACTAATACTTTCTTCCATTTCTTTGCTAATAGCCATTCTAATGAGCATGAGGTGGTATCTCAAGTGGCTTGGCTTTGCCTTTCCCTAATGACCAACGACATTGAGTACCTTTACTGTGCTTGTTATCCATGGATGAATTTCCTTTGAATAAGGTTTTTGCTTTTTCAAATAGAAACAAATTATTCCTTGCTAAGAAAAGTAAGCCCTTTCTGCAATTTTGGCAGGGCCGTGAGTTTCTGCAAAACTTGTGGTTCTCAAATGGATAGTTCTGCCAATCTGGATACATATTTGTGGATAGATAAGTAAGACTGAAGAATACTCCTGGCATCTAGTCAGTAAAGGCAGGGATACTGCAAAGCACCCCCCACAAGTACAAAGGACAGCTCCCACCCCCAGCATGACCTGACCTTAAATGTTAGTAATGCCAAGGTGGAGAAGCCCTGCTCTAACCAGCCTCCTCATGAAACTACAGGAAATTCATATAGTTAAATGATCTTTGCCTTTCAGGTATAGATAGCCCTGTTTCACATGTTTCTGGTGACAATTGTTGTCATAAGGCACTGACCTGCTTGGTGAGTACAGTGTATAGTCTTTTCTTGTTTGACTCTGCTCTATCATTATGAATGGAAATCAGGAGAGTATATGTCTTTAGGGTTGGGACTTAGGCAATGTCATCTCCCCAGGATTCAGAAGAGGGCCTAAAAAAAGGGAGGGACCCTGAAGTTACTTTCAGATCCACTGGCTGACAAACTATCATTATATCCATGAATCTTTTTTTAACTTGTTATTTTGAAATAATCAAAGAGCCTACAGGATGTTGAAAAAAAAAAAATAGTACCCAGGCTCGTGTACCCTCTACCCAGCTTCCCACAGTAGTTACACCTAACATTACTATAATATGGCTGTGAGTCACCAGTGTTCTGAGAAATGTGTCATTAGGCAATTTCATCACCAAGCGAACATCATAGATTATAATTACACAAACCTAGATGGTACAGCCTACCATGCACCTAGGCTAGATGGTAGAGTTTATTACGAACACCATTATATATCTGGCCTGTCATTGACCAGAACATCTTTAAGGGACACATAACTGTACTAAACCCAGAAAACTGACATGGATACAATATGTGCTTCGGTGGTTCTGTGCCATTTTATCACATATGTAAAGGCCCAGGCTGACATCAAAATCATCCCAGAGTTATCTGTAACTCCCTGCCTCCCCTTCATCCCTCAGCCCTGGTGACATCAATCTGTTCTCCATCTCTATAATTTTATCACTTCGAGAATATTATGTAAATGGCACCTTTTCTGATTAGCTCTTCTCAGCAAAATTCTCTGGAGAGGCATCCAATTTGTTGTTGATCTCTCCAGTCCATTCATTTCCATTGCTCAGGAATAGTTCTGTGGATTTACCAGAATTTGTTTTTTTCTACTCTTTGTTGCAATTAAAGCTGCTGTGAACATTTATTTATGTACAAATTTTCATGTGGATGCAAGTTTTCACTTTTCTGGGACAAATTCCCCAACATATCTTCTGTTTATCTCCTTTAAAAAAAAAATTGAGATACAGAGTCATGTGTCACTTTAAACAGTATGTCACATGTACAACAAGTCCCCGGAGGTACCCCCATCTAGCCGAGGTACATAGTGGGCTGTGCAATCTAGGCCCGGGTCATTACACTGACATTTGCACAATGGCAAAATGGCCCAACTGCACATTTGTTAAGTGACATGACTGTAACTGACATACAAAATTTTGTAGATTTGATGACAATGATTTGATATTTTATATATTACAATATGATTACCACTGTAGCCTTAGTTAACACCTCCATCACCTCACAGAATTACCATTTCCTTACCAGTTCCCACAACTGTGCCTTTGTGGGGACAATTAAGATCTAGTCTCTTGGGCCTCCCCTAGTGGCTCTAGGCGGTTGAGCGCAGCGCTGTGAAGCTGTCTGCGGCCTCTGCAGCGCCGGTTCCATAATGGCCAGCCAGCCAGGGTCCCACATGGTGTGGCAGACTTCTCCTGTCTCGTCCGCTGCTCCCCTGAGCAGTGTATTTTGTCAGTCTGCCTGTTCTGTTCCCCACTGTGTCTCTGGTGAATCCTCTCACCCTCCCACGAATTTGGCCTGTACCCTGGTTCTTGTATGGATAAATAAATAAATCTTTAAAAAAAAAAAAAGATCTAGTCTCTTAGCAACTTTGATGTTTCTAAGGCAGCATGATTGTCTATAATCACTCTGCTGTGCATTTAGCTCTCCAGGACTTAGTTATCCACTACTTGCAGGTTTGTGCCATTAAACACTATCTCCCCAGTCTCTCCACTCTATCTTTCCTTTTTAAGAGATCACTTTATATGTGTCTTCTTTCAGGAGATGAATGATAAGGTGATTGCTTATTTGCTTGGAGATCAAATATCACATACCAACATATATTGGTCACTTTCTCAGGGATTTTCATTCCAGAAGATTGACTATAAAATGCAGGTATGTCCAATTTGGTAAAGTGAACATTAAAAAAACATAGTTTTATGTGGTTAGAGTAATTCTCTGTCAGGTAAATAAGGGCTTTTCTCTCTTTAAGTGTTCAACTGGGGGCCTGGTGGCGCACCGGGCTGAGCGCAGCGCTGAGAAGCTGTCTGCAGCCTCTGCAGCATGGGTTCAATTCCTGGCCGGCCAGGGAGATTCCCACACGGAGCAGCAGACCTCTCCTGTCGCACCCGCTGCTCCCTTCAGCAGTGCTTTTAGTCTGTCTGCCTGTTCTGCTCCCTGCTCTGTCTCTGTTGAATCCTCTCACCCTCCTGCACCTCTGGTCTGTACCCCAGTTATTGTATAAATAAAAAATAATTAAAAAAAAAAAAAAAAGAGTTCAACTGACTGAGAGGATAGCAAAAACTTCCAGATAAAAAGAACTGTCTTAGGGAGACTAGGAAGTCAGATAAGGGGACGAAAGGTTCTAAATCATAGCACCATTTAGGGAGTGCTTGTGAAAAGCTGGTGCCATAGAAATACTACACATTAATTATGACACTTAACCTCATGCTCACTTAAAGGTAAGGACCATCAGATGCATAATCACCCTTTTTTTACAGATGAAGTAACTGAACTGGATTGGAATATATGTCCTCAAAAAAATGGAAGTTCCCCCCAGAATCTCAGAATGTGACCTTACTTGGAAATAGGGTCGTTAGTTACGACAGGCCATACTAGACAAGGCTGGGTTTTAAGTTTAATGTCTGGTGTCCTTTTAAGAGAAGGGAAAGATATGAGGAGATGCACAGTGAAGAAGGTCATGTGAAGATGGAGGGAGGGGTTGGAGCGGTGCAGCTGCAAGCCAGAGAATACCAAAGATTGCTGGTCACCCCCAGCTGCTAGGAGAGAAGTGTGGTATGGCTTCCCTCTCAGAGCCTCTGGAAGGAACCAATCCTTCTTACGCCTTGACTTCAGACTTCCTGCTTCCAGGACTATAACAATAAATTCATGTTGTTTCAAAGCTCCCAGTAGATGGTATTTTGTTATGGCAACCCTAGGAAACTAATCGCAGGATGAAGGCTCAGAGAGGTGCAAGACCTTTCCCAAGGCCACACAGCATGGCTGAGCTGAGATTTTTTTTTTTAAGATTTATTTATTTAATTATTTATACAAGCACTGGGTACAGTCAGAAGTGCAGGAGGGTGAGAGAATTCACCAGAGCCAGAGCGGGGAGCAGAACAGACAGACTGACAAAATACACTGCTGAGGGGAGCAGTGGGCACGGTAGGAGAGGTCTGCGCGCCATGTGGGACCCTCACCCGGTGGCCGGGGATCGAACTGGCACTGCAGAGGCTGCGGGCAGCTTTGCAACCCAGCGCTCAACCGCTGCGCCGCCGGGGAGGCCCTGAGCTGAGATTTGAACAGCTTGGAGGGACAGGATACTTGGACAGCTAAGGGGATAAGGACATTTTGTCCTAATGGAGAAAATGACTATCACCAAACACTTGTCCAGAGGAAGTTAGGAGTCAGCTCCACTCCCAGGTCCTGCTTATATCCTAAATCTGCTTTCTTTACCCTGCCCAGGAGGCCTAAAGATGCCTAGAAGTAAACTGGCCACGTGTGTTTACTTAAAACTAAAACCTAGAATGACCCAGTCAAGGGAGCATGAGTTGATATTTGTGCTCAGTTGGAAGCTATATTAAAATCCCCAATTGTGTTAAGGTTCTCCAGAGAAACAAACCAGTAAGATACATAGATGGCAGGTCCGGGAATGGTGGTATTTTGTTTAATAACATTTCATTGTAACATTGCTGTGAAAAAAATGAATTGGTTCCTGACCACTATGAGCTTCTGACCTCAAGAACTCTTGTGTGTGTGTGTGTGTGTGTGTGTGTGTGTGTGTGTGTGTGAGAGAGAGAGAGAGAGAGAGAGAGAGAGAGAGAGAGAGAGAGAGACAGAGACAGAGACAGAGACAGAGACAGAGACAGAGTCAATGAGCTCTTTGGTGTCTCTGCTTACCAGGGCACTAATCCCATCATGGGGACACCACTCAAATGACCCAGTCTAACCCTAATCAACACCCCAAAGCCCCACATACCATTCCTCTGGGGGAGCTTTGACCTAAAGATTTGTGCCCACCTCGCGGTTTACAGGCAGAACTCCTAATGCCCAGCGTGATGGTATGAGAAAGTAAGTGGTGCCCTTGGGTTACTTAGGTCATGAGGTTGCAGCCCTCATGAGTGGGATGAGTGTCTTTATCAAAGAGGCCCCAGAGAGCTTGCTAGCCGCTCAAGAACTTAACGTGTGAAGATATAACGAGAAGTCTGCAGCCCAGAAGAGGGTTCTCATTTAACCATACTGGCACCTCAGTCTCAGATTTAACGCCTCCAGAACTGTGAGGAATAAATTTCTGCTGTTTGTGAGGCACCTAGCCTGTGGCATTTTGCCATCGCAGCCCAAATGGACTAACATGGGTTAGGGCTTTGGTACAGTCGAGCGTTAGTTTCAACATAGCTGTGTTCTGAGAAACGCAAGTTTAGGCAATTTTGCCAATGTGTAAGAGTAGATACAGCCCACTCACACCTGGGCCAGTGACGTGTAGTGTATTGACACTCACACGTGGAGTCCATTGTTGGCCAAAATGTCATCATGTGGTGTGACTACATATAAATTGGAGGGGGGGGGGTTGCAATTTAGTCCATAGAACTGTATATTGGGGAGCTACCTCCCCGCTCCCCCCCACCCCTAAATAACGGCTTAAATAAGATAGCCTTTCTCTTACCTGAAAGATGTTTAGAGGTGGCAGCTGGGTGGCTGTGGTGACCTGCCCCATTGTCCTTAGGTTGGAGCTCATGGCCTCACACTACAGCTTGGTTTCTGGGCATGTTTCCTGGCAGCCCATAATCAAGACTAAGGAACCTAGGCAGAAATGAAGCAACTAGGCACAGATATCTCGCAATCTGCAGGCCTCTAGCACTTTCTCCAACACCCCAAGCTAAGCTGTTTAAAATCAGGTTCTGCTCTAGAAGCTACATTTCCATAGAGGGGAAGTAGATAGTAGTAAAAAAAAAAAAAAACCTTCCTTCATTTTGACTCAGTAGATAATCTGGAGTTAAATTTAATTAAACATCTTTGTAAGTTAGTTATACGTGATATTCTTACTTGTTTTGCAGGCCAAAGGAGTTGGGACTTTGGGTGGCATCTTCAACTTTGGCTCCTTGTCACAGATTGGGATGCTTTCTGTAGATCAAGGGAAGGTGAGTGACTCTGGACTGACAAGAACAAGTGACTTTTGCCCCGAATCAGTTTTTGTTAAAACTCATATACTTAGCCTGCCTGCCTGCCTTCCATGCATCCACCCACCCACCCACTCATCCATTCATCCATCTGTCCATCCACCTACCTGGTCATGCATACGCTGTCTTCTCTTCGCTCCCCTTGCTCATTTGTTCATGCCATCACGTTCTCAGCAATGTGTGAGTAGTGCCTATGAGGCGCTAAGCCCCAGCTGAGCACTTAGGGATAAAATATAAGGTGTGGGGCATAGATATCCGCAATCGTGCACAAGATAATTTTAAATGCTTCATTTAAATGATTGTTTTAGTATGTATTCAGTAAAGCAGGAACCTGTGACTTCACAGATGTCATTTAGGATCGGTCTAAGTAGAGGAGCTAGTCTGTGCAAAGTGCATTGGAAGGAAAAATATTAACTCAGGGCAAAAAAAAAACAGCCAGTACCCCAGTATTCAAAATTTGTGAATGGGATACATGGCTTTGATTTTTGGGGGAGACCCACCAGCAGGAAGCTTCTGGAAGTTGGTCTGATATGGGTCACCTGGTTGGGCTGGCCTCCTTCCACGTGAGTGAGAGCTGCCATGGCCTGCCGGGGTACAGATGCTTCCACCACTCTGGGGAGCCCAGGAACTCAGCAACTGAAGAGCCCAGCTCATGCCTACCACCTTGCATGGTGCTCCCAGCCTGATGGCAGGCATCGCAAAGACTACCTGGCTGGCATCCATCCAGGGTGAAATCTGCCCTTCTCACACCAGATTGTGGGTGCAGCCCTATACTCAGGGCTCAGGCCCCTGGCCAGGCAGGCTTTCTGCACATGTGCATGCTTAGCTTGGGCATCTTCATTCCTCTGTCTCTTCCTCTGTCCTTTTCAGCTCTTCACGCACCTCTGCTGAGGCCTCCTTTTTTGGGAGAGAAGAAAACTTGAAAGGCACTTTTCTCCACTGGACTCAGTACTCGGCACCAAGCACTTACCCAATATTTAGAACTTGGTGCTCATTACTCAGCACTTTTCTGCACCTGTCCCTCTGCCTCCTGCCCCAGTCCCCGAGGGAGCCTTTTGTTCAGGGGTCCTCCACAGTGAGATGAACCCCCCTCCAGTGCTGCTCCCATGGACCACCTTACTAGTGTCCATCCCGTGAGGGAGCCCAGAACCCAGGAGACGTTGCACTTTCTCTGACCTGGTCTCTTGCTTACCCACCACAGTAAGTGATTACAGCCTGAATGAACGCTCTCATAGTTGGCTTGTTGCCTCAATGGGCTACTCTGGCCCCTGGCAGCTTAGCTGAGCTGCCAACAGAGAACACCTCTCAGGATTAGGGAATGAAGCCCGCTGACCCATCACCGTGGAGATGAGCCAGGGGTGCCAACTCACACACAGTGTCTTGGTGCATTGTGTGCTGAGGTCTGGCCCCATCCACAGTCAGGGCTGGACAGGTCCAAGTTCAGCAGCCTGTGCACAGTCGATTCCTGCACTGTAGGCTCTGGGCAGCATCCCTGGCACCCACCCGCTCAGTGCCAGGAGCAGCCCCAGTTGTGACAACCACAGATGTCCCCAGACATGGCTCACAGTCCTCTGGGGGCAAAATTGTACCCCAGTTGATAACCGCTAGGGTAGGTGATAAATTTATTTATTTTTTAAAGATTTGTTTATTTATTTATACAAGCACTGGGTACAGTCAGAAGTGCGGGAAGGTGAGAGAATTCACCAGAGCTGGAGCGGGGAACAAAACAGGTAGACTGACAAAATACACTGCTGAGGGGAGCAGCGGGCGGCAGGAGAGGTGTGTTGCACTATGTGGGACCCTCGCCAGTGGCCAGGATTGAACCAGTGCTGCAGTGGCTGCGGGCAGCTTTGCAGCCCAGCGCTCAACCACTGTGCCACCAGGGGAGGCCCTAGGTGATAAAATTTAAAGAAAGTTTGAATAACAAAGACTGTGAAGCTGAGATGTTCTGTTGTCCTGTAATTACAGGCTTGGTGATTTCTTTTATGACTCAAGATTCATTAGTCTTTCTTTCTCAGGCCAGGTTTAGCTACTCTACCCACCCCTTGAACCGCAATTTTGGGGTATCCTTTGACTACAATGAGACCCTTGACGTCCTCCTTGCCCCTGGCCAGAGAGGCATTATCCTCTTGTGGTCTCAGAAGACCTTGATGATTTCCCGAAATGCAGGTGAGTGGGGCCTAGACTTGATGGCAAGGGCACACACCCTTATTTTCTGTCTCTCCTGACTTGAATGGACAGTGATGACAAGCCAGTTTCCCTTCCCCGTCCTTGTGTGTCCTCCCTGTGTCCTACCTTCTGGAAACTCCAGGGTCCTGTAGTCATGTTCTGAAAGTCTCTGGACACTTAGGCGAGATCGGGTGTGTTCCCGGTGGTACGGCCGCAGGCAGTCACTGGATACTCAGGACAGAGGATCCAGACCTCAGTCTAGGAACTTCAGATCTTGTTGGGGGGTACTGAGGTTAGTGATTCCAGAGCAGGGGCAGTGCCAGCTGCTTGAACCTCGCCTAGGCCAGAGAAATATGGGGAGGTGGTCCAGTACCTCCAGCTTGCCTTATGGAAGAATCCTAGTGATGCCCAGAACCTATGAGCACCCATCCCTCTGGAGGGCATAGGGAGAGGAGCAGGGCAAAAAAGCAGCCCTCTAAAGGGAGGAGCTCTCAGGGGGCACCAGCACTGGTTTGGCTACAAGTGTGCCCACAGTGACAGCCCGCTCCCAGCACTAGCAAGCACCCTGACCTTGGCAGCTCCCCCAGTGCCAGGAAAGGGCTCGAGGCTGCTCACTCATTTGGGGAACCCATTCCAGAAAGAGCCGTGCCTCATTCCTTACCATGTTAGTGGTACAGTCCTGTGTTGTTTAGCAATGTTTTCTGGTCAACGCCGGCTACTATCTCCACAGCGGGCCCAGTAGGCTCTGCCCTCGAGCCTGAGCGTGTTTGGACTGTACCATCTCGGTGTGGTGTCTGCACAATGACATAATCACCTAGGAAGGCATTTCTCAGAATGTGTCCCTATCATTAAGCTAGAAAGTAAGACATTCTGTCACGTTCATGTCTCCAAAAGATGAAAAGGACTTTTTCTTATAAACTCAACAGCCACTCCTCACAGTTTTTGTGCCAAAGAGGCTCATGGAAGCCACATTCTCTTAAACCTAAGCATATTCCTTAGGGTGACTTACACTGCATTTCAGTGCTGTACCTTCCTTGCTTCGTTACCATTTGAGGGGCAGCCCCAGGGGTGGCGTGAGTGGTGGGGATATAGCCTGTGTGTATTTCATGGGTGGGGCCCCCGCTCCTGCTTGGGCCCAGGTCCTCATGATTCTGCCTGTTGTCTCCTAGGTCAGCTCGTCAGCTCTGTCTGGGTACAGGAAAGACCCAACACCTTGTATTCCATCTTTGACACCAACATCACCATCCACAATGTTGCTGCCAGTGCGTGCCTGACCTGCGGGAAGCTTTGTAGAAGAGTTTTATACCTGGCTTGCTAAGCCAGCCTGCCCAAAAGAACACATGAAACATGTTATGAATCATGTTGCTATGAGCATGCGCATACAAGTTTTTGTGTATACACATTTTTTTAAATTTCTAAAAAATTCATTTATTTTTTATAGTCCCTGTAGTTCTCCTATGATCCAGAGCCCACGATCCATCACCACAGTCCCTTATGCTCTTCCCTCCCCTGCTCTGAGCTCTCTCCCTCCTCTGCTATTTGCCTCAGATCTATGGTCAGCTTGCAAGCTTTGTCTTTTTCCTGACTCTGTTTTCTCTCAGAATACTACTGTATTCTGCATATAAGTAAAATCGGCTGATATTTATCTTTTTCCTTCTGACTTATTTTGCTTAGCTTCATCCCTTCTAGCTCCATCCAACTTGCTGTAAATGACTTGAGTTTATCTTTTTCATGTCTATACCACATCTTGATTCATTCATCTGTTTTAGGGCATTTAGGTTGTTTCCACATCTTAGCTATTGTAAATAGTGCTGCAATAAACTTAAGAGTGCAGGTTTCTTTTCAAATTAGTGTTTTTGTTCTTTGGTAGATTCCTAGGAATGGCATACCTGGGTCATATGGCAGATCCATTTTTAGTGTTCTGAGGAACCTCCACACAGCTTTCCATAGTGGCTGGACCAGTTTACATTCCCACCAGCCATCCAACTGCATTCATGTACATGAAAAGAAAGGGAAAAACTAAGTTATAAAGCAAGTTAAAGAGTTCCAGAATATGATCCAGCGTATATAAAATGACTGGAATGGATGTTTACCAAAGTAACAATGGTTACTTGTTTCAGGGGTCAGCAAACCATGGTCTGTGGGCCACTTGTTTTTGTTAATAAAGTTTTATTGAAACACACTCATGCCCATTCAGTTAAGTGTTATCCTGTAACTGCTTTCACAGAGTTGAATAGTTACAACAGCCATCACATGACTGGCAAAGCAGAAGGTATTTTCTGGTCCTTTGCAGAAATTTGCTGACCCCCTAGTCTATCTGATGGAATTTGGGGCAATTTATTTTTTACTTCAACTTTTTAGATGTTTTATGTTTTTGTCCACTGAAACAACCTTTGTTTCACTTTTTGTTTTGTCTTGTTTGGTTTTTCCTAGATGAAAATGAAATGGCAGTTTTAACTCAGGAGAATAATTTGTATTATGGCAACCTGGGAATCCTATCAAATTCTCTAATCAAAGTAGGTAAAAATCAAGGCAGGATTATTACCCATTTGGTAAGGAATAAATGGTCTTGTTCCCAAACTTCCAACCTTTTTTCTGAAGGCTAGGAATAGCTCTAGTTCTTAAAGTAGTAATAACATTTTAATAGTAATAAATTAACACTACTTTAAAATTAAATTAGTAATATTAATTTAATATTTAATAATTTTAAAAGTAGTAGAAATTTTAACATTTATTGAAGTAACAGCAGCAACTAAAATTTAGCACATAGAATATGGCAGGTGTTAGTTTAAGGGCTACCCATCTGTTAGTTCATTGAGCCCAATCATCATTGAAGTAGGACCTTGTGTTGTCTCCATTTGACGGATGAAAAAACTAAGGTACAGAGATGTAAGGTCATTTACCCAAGGTCACAGAGGTAGGAAACAGGGATGCCCAGATGATCTCACATCATTGTGTGTATTACATATATCTCATTATGTTTCATTCTCACAACAACCCATGAAGGAGATAATATTTTCCAACTTTCATAAGTGGGAAAACTGAAACCCAAGTTTCTCTCCTTCCAGTGGTCCCATGGCTCATTAGCAGCTGAGCCAGAGAAGCCCACCAGGTGTGCTGAATGCTACTCTGTATTTTTCCTGCTAGATCTGCAGCCACAATATTTGTGAGAGTGCGCTGATAACAAAGTGGGACGGGATCGCTGGGTGTGGGGCACAGGCACAAGAACTATCTCTTTGAAACCTTAACTCTGACATTCCTATAACAAGTGTGTTTTCAGGGGTCCCGTCGCTTTTGTTTAACTCTCAAAAAAGACCATGATCTGTGAATAAGTAAGGAATTCTTTCCTCTCTGATGAAGGATTACTGAGTTTCCACTATTAATTTAATGACCAAGGAATGAGGGAACCTGAAAAGTAGGTATCTCGACTAACTTGACTCTCAGTTAACTTTGACTCTTGGTGAGAAGTGTCTAACTTATTTAAATCTGAATCATAAGATAACTTTTAAATCTTAAGTAAATAATCAGGATGATCTGATCTCATAAATTGTTTTTCTCTTAGTTTTCAGACCAAAACATCTGGTCCCCACAGTCAACTCTGATGTTCACTGGCGTGGGGAGTCTTGAAATACTGACCCCACTTCCCGATAAACATTTTGCAGCTTTTGACTTCCAGAAGTGCCCCGTGAATATTCAGCGGGTGCTCATGGACCCCAAATTTGATATAGGTGTTTGCGAAGTACGTAATGATGATTGTTTAAATTGATGTTCAAGTCTCTCTTTTATGAAAAGACAAATCCCAATAATCCATAGTTGAGCATCTGTAACCATCAGATAAACATGGATTGCCAGAAAAAATATAAGATACCCAGTTACAGTTGAATTTCAGATCAACTAAATCTGGCAGCCAGCCACCATAGGTTCCAAAGGTTGATACCCTCCATCTTGAACAACCTCACATCCCTATTTCAAAAAGAAGCAATTACTTTATTACACACTTTCTGTAACAAGGAAATCAAACAAACCTCAAAATTGTCCAGTGACTAAAGTGACTAAAGTAAGAGGCAGTTATCAGGTCTATTCTACTCTTCAAGTAATCTAGTCTAATGAGACTTCATGACCCCATAGTAATTAATTTCCAAGAGCCTCTGGAGAGGAAATTCAATTGGATTCAAGATATCTATTGAGCTGTGGGAATCAGCCTTAACCCTGGCCAAGCAGGGCTGATTAAAGAAGGGGGACATGGTAGAAATATGATTAAAGAAATATGGAAATGAACATTATCAATTTGAATACATTATTCTGCAAGTGATAGAAAATGCAAATCAAATGGACTGAAGGCAGAAAAGCAATTGTTGACTTACCTAGGCAAAAAGTCCAAAGGGAAACTTCAGATGAGACTTGATCTAGTAAATCCAGTCAAGCCACCAAGAAGGTCGTGTCCTCCTGTCCTACTCTGCATCATGTGGTGTGCCACGCTTTATCCTGAAGCACCATCGAGCTGCCTCCAGGAAGCCCTGGCTCTCACATAGTGGTGGCCAGATGACAGCCAATGCTAGACCTGGCATCCTCACACAGTATCATAGGCAACAGAAAGGGTGCCCTGCTACAGCCTTGCAGAAGCCAGGGATGGAGGTGGGGGCAGATCTTGTCAATTTCAGCCAATCTCATTGGCTCAGTCCAGGTCGATCACATGACTGGGGTGAGCCCATCAGCACTTACCCCATGAGGCAGTGGGTGGGGTTAGTCCCACCAGTGCACATGCCCAAGGGCCATGCAAAGTAGTGATTGCCCAAAGGAACGGGGGATATCCCTGCCAGGAGTACTCGCTACTGGACAGAAACAGTAAAATGTCTTTTCTAGGCTCTTCCAAAATCCGTCTCCCCCAGCTCCTCGCAATCACAATGCCATTTCTTTAAACTATGTATATGGCAAAGTGATTATTCCAACAAGTTTAATATCCATCACCACACAGTTATAACATTTTTCTTGTGACAGTAACTTTGAAGATCTGCTTTGTTAGCAACTATCAAATATACAATTCAGTATTATTAATTGTAGTCACTATGCTGAACATTCTATCACTAGAACTCATTTCCTTGTAACTGGAAGTCTGTACCTTTCGACTATCTCCAACCTCTTCCCCTGCCTCTGGCACTTACAGTCCATTCTCAGGCTTTGGTTGAGAAAAACTTAAAAGAAATACTGTTTGAAATAGGATAAGATTAGGTGATAGCGTCTGGGATGTGCCCTCGGAAAGGCTAGAAAGAAAGTTGAGGAAGCAGTCCTGTCAACTCAGGTGGTGGGGGCCTTGCTGGTGGCACAAGGGGTTAAGCACTGCACTATGAAGCTATCCGCAGCCCCTTCAGCACGAGTTCAATCCCCGGCCAGGGAACTGACCCACATGAAGCAGCAGACCTCTGCTGTCTCCCTTCTGTTCCCCTCAGCAGTGTATTTCAGAAGATACACCTGTTCTGCTCTCCACTCTGTCTCTGGTGAATCCTCTCACCCCCCACACCTCTGACCTGTACCCAGTTCTTGTATGCATAAATAAATAAATCTTTAAAAAAAAAAAAACTCAGTGGTGGTGGGGATTCCTGGAGAGAAGAGGGTCTGCTGAGGGTACAGAGTGGCAGGAGTTAAGTCCCAGGTAGGGAGGAGGCACCCCTGATCATTTGCCCTTTCTGTTTGGGGACAGAGGCTAGATTTAACTGACTTTATTCTTTCTGCATTTCTAACTAGGTAGAATTTCTGTATGGAGAATTTGAAAATGAATTGTTCACTATGGATATGAACAGCGAGTTGGAATTGACTGCCATCATGATACCCCGGCCAGGCAGTTACCCCATCCCACTGGTAAAGGCATCTCCTTACCTGTTTGCCAAGTGTGTCTGGGTGGTGGCAATCACGGTGTCCTCGGCCTCATGCTCTGTGCCCATCACTCGCAGACTCTGGGAATCCCTGGCTTCATGGGGATGCTCCGTAGACCTGTCTCTGTTGCTTCGTGCTAAGACTCCCTGAATCCTGTGGCAAAGGGAGGAATCTGAGAAACAGTGGGTGTTCCGGGACCTGAAGCCCCAGGGGCTCAGCCTGGACCCTGAGGTGCAAGTAATCAAGTTGAAAATGGGGTGAAATAATCAAGTTGAAAATGGGGTAAGAATATGGGGGGATATCCAGTCCACTGGGCACAGCCTAGGTCGGGGCCTACACAAGACCCCAGATGGACTCAGGCTGGGAGGGTTCCCCCCTCCAGGCCTCTCTCCACAGCAAGGGCCTCCGGGCCTCTCCTTGCCCCAGGGGCAGAGCTGGGGCTTGCGTTGTTTCTGCCATGCCAGGTTCAGCAGCCATACATGGGGCCAGGGGCACGTTTGAGCATTGGACTGGCCGCTGCATTTACAGACCACCCTCAGTTTTCATCTGCAGGCACACTGAGGTTAACGGACACAGAGTGACACCCCTTTGTAAGCACCCCCAGTGTGTACAGCATGTTTCCTCTGTTCCCCGCCCCCACCCCAGGTGGTAGTGAGCAACCCCCACTCCCTGGGGCTGGACACCTTCATCTATGAGGATGGTTATACCTATGATGGGAACATCAAGTATAGACTGGTAAGTTGAGACCCTGCCCCAGACCCTGCTCAGCGGTCAGAGGGTGTGGTCAAGACCTGGCTGGACAGGGACAGTTGCCTCACTATGTCCTTTGTCCTGGCCCTTCTGCCTCCTTCCCTTCCTTGTACCACCTGGGCCAGGCATTTGAGGGACCACAGCCCCTGCTCCTCCCCACCCCAGGCAGGCAGCAACCCCACGAGTGACACCATCGAGATGTCCAACAGGAAGGCATGGGTGACATGATCGGGGGCCGGCCCAGCACTGGGGAGGCCATGAGTCTGGGTTTGTTGGATAAACTGGTGCTTCTAGACAGAGACAAACCAGGCAGCACAGGAGGGGCTTGACTGAACATGGATCTGAGGGATCCTGAGGGTGAACAACCCAGACACTAAAGGACACTCACTGCCATGACATGGAGCTAGGACTTGGGTGGGGTCAGGATGTTTCTGCAGTGCAGGCAGCTGACCAGGTAGACATTGGTGGCAACAAACTCTTCGGCCCGGTCCTTGGCACATCACAGGTAAATGAGAGGGAAACAAAGTCCCCAGGACTGACCCAGGGAGGAAATAGAGTTCAGGGCAGCCATTTCCTTGAGCTTCCAGAACCTTTTCATGGACAGTGGAAGTGAAGCAGGGGAGGGTCTGCTTTGGGGCCGCTTCTTCCAACCACCTGACCCTGCCCCTTCCATCTCTCCCCAAAACTTGATTCTGGGATGGCCCTAAGTGAGCCCACTGTCATAGCAGATGTTTTCAATTCCACAGAACATTTCTCTGAGGCAGCAGCACCATCGGGGCAGGTCTAACCCCAACTTCACCTCCAGGTACGTTGTCACCGGGATGGTGGCAGGTGGTCCCTGGGATGCTTACAGGGTTCCCTTAGCAGGAGCTGGGGGACACAGACTCCCTCCCTCCAAGGCCAGTAAGGCAAGAGTGATTTCAAACACTTTAAAATGGCAGTTCCTCCAGAAATTAAACATCAGGAGACCCTATGATCCGGCAATCCCTCTTCTGGATATCTGCCCAAAAGAACTGACAGCAGGGTCTCAAGCAGATTTTTCACCGTGCTCACAGCAGCATGATTCACAGTAGCCGATACCCAAGGCAGCCCCACACGACGTCCACAGAAGAATGAACACTCGCAGTGGGGTCCTGCCACGTGATGGAATATTCCTCACCCTGAAAAAGCAAGGACATGCTGACACCGGTTACAATGTGGACAGAGGTTGAGGACATGACACTCAGTGAAATAAGCCAGACACACAAGGACAAGTGCTGTGTGAGCCACTCGCAGGAGACCCCAGAGTCACATCTGTTAGGGGCAGGAAGTAGATGGTGGGAGCCAGGGGCTGGCATATGGGGGTGGGATGAGGTAGTTCCAGCTGCTCTGAGGGACCAGGAGGGAAGTGTGCCCTCAACAGAGAGGAGGGGGACCCCCAGAGAGACTGACCAACATGGGGAGGAGGCAAGGATATGCAGCACAAGTTCTGAGAAATGTGTTGTCGGGCAATGTCGTCATTGAGTGAATGTCGTCATTGCATGAATTTCACAGAGCATCACTACGTAAACCCAGGTGGCACAGACTACCAGCACTGCCTGCACATACGTGGTCTGCCTTTGATTGCAGTGTGATCACATGGCACATGACTGCAGTTATTTTCAGGGACTGAGGCAGACGTTGGTGCTGAAAATCAGCACAGAATGGCCAACACAGTTCCACTGGCTGAGGAAAGTTCCAGGGCCTTTGAGATTCCATTGGGGTCTGGGAGGCCATCCGGAAAGTCCAGGGAGATCTGCTCAGGGAGGTCAATGCAACATGATCTGAGATGGCATTAAAGAGATGAAAGGAAAGGTGTCCAGGAAGGGGGAGAAACACATGCAAATACCCTGCAGTAGGAGGGAGTGGAGTAACTGGGAACTTAATTCAATAAAACTAGAACTCAACAACGAAAAGGAGACCAAAAACCACACCAATAACAAAATTCCCCTTTACTTGGAAATTAAAAAACACCCTTATAAAAATCCATGAATCAAAACATTCACAAAATACAATTAAAATAAATTAGGAAAATTCACATCCCAAGCACTTTAATTTTGGCGTGTGGGGAGAAGGATGAGGAATGGACTGAAGACAAATGAACTAACAACTTAAGATACATCATGAACAGCAAAAAGAAATGATGCAAAGGGGATTTATAAAAGTGCAAATCTGAAATTTATTAAAGTGCAAAAAGACAGTAAAATGTCACATGGAAAATTAAGGCTGATTCTTCAGAAAGTCCATTTAATAGATAAAACCCTACAATCCTGATGAATGATCAAAAGGAGAATTAAACAAAAGGAGAAGAAACCATAGGTAAAGGTAAGGATACAAACGCTATTAAGAGAATAGTGAGAAAACATATGCAGGTAGGTGATAATAAAACTGAGTATAGGGGGAGGGGGGAAATTTTTAAAAATTGAATATCAGATGTTCTTCTCAATGAGTTAACAAAGCTGATAGAAGATATAGCAGCACTATTTACAATAGCTAAGCTATGGAAACAGCCCAATTGCCCAAAAATAGATGACTGGATCAAGAAGATGTGGTACATATACACCATGGAATATTACTCAGCAATCAAGAAAGATAAACTCATGCAGTTTGCAGCAACATGGATGGAGCTAGAAGGGATCATGCTCAGCGAAATAAGCCAGAAAGAAAAAGAAAAATACTGGATGGTCTCACTCATAGCAGGAATTTAGAAAACCTAAATAAGGGACCAGGAAAAAGACTAATTAATACAAAGTAGAAATCAAAATCAACAAGCAACTATGGACCAGAGACACACAGTGGGGGCGGGGGGGAGAGGGGCAGGGAGAGGAAGGATTAGGGTCAAAATAAGGGGGGTTGCAATTGTATGGGGAATATAACCAAAATGAAAATGCATCCATTGTGCAAAAATGAAAAATGATATAAGAATTATATAAAATTAAATATTAAAAAAACCCAAAGTTGATAGAAGAGATAGAAACTTGAGGGAAGGCAGGACCACCATGTGTGAGCAGAGGTTTTCAGTCAATATTCTGGAAGGAATGGATGGATGGATGGATGGGTTCGCTTTTTATTGGCACACTGGTGGTAATAACACACATCTCCATTTCCTTGCAGCATAAAGAGACCCACAATGTCTACCATAACTGTGGACTTAGCCAATAAGGAACTTTCATGTGTGGACCTCAAGCCTGTGGTATGTCCCAGATTTTTGGTGTCCCATATCCTTTATTACTATGGTTAAGAGTAGCTGCAGCAGGTCTTGGTTCCCTTATCCCCCAGTTCAGAATCTGGAAATGGAGATGACCCAATCCTGTTTGCTGAGGTCACTGTCTCTCCCCTCATCATTATCCCTCAGGGCTGCCCCTCATGACCCACCATCCTGGGAGCAGGCATGACAGCCCCATTCCTTATTGGTCATCTACAGAACAGCTTCTGCTCGACTCAGATGATAGCACTCCTTGATGTCCCCAAGAGAAATGAAAATAACATACATCCACACAAAACCTACACACAGTGTTCAAAATGGTGTTATTTACAATGGCCAAAAACTGGAAGGAACGTAAATGTCCATCAATAATAGATGGATAAACAAACCATGGGTCAGCCACACAGTGGAACGCTATTAAGTCTCAAAAAAAGAAGGAAATCCTGACACAGGCTACCACCTGGATGAGACTTGAGGTCACTATATCAGTGTAATATGCCAGACACAAAAGGACAAACGCTGCCTGTTTCCACTCATAGGCGGTCCCCAGAGGAGTCACATCCACAGAGACAGGAAGTAGAGGGTGGGTGCCAGGGGCTGCGAGTGATTGTTAAGTGGGGACAGAGTTCCAGTTTGGGAAGATGAGAAAGTTCTGGAGAGGGAGGGTGGGGACAGCCGCACACCAGCTGCATGAGCTCACGCCACTGAGCCGTGCGCGGCTGAGCGCACATTTTATGTGTTGTGTATTTTACTCCAGTTTTAAAAATTGATACAAATCTTGCATTCTGTTCCATGGTAAATCCATGTTTGTCCCAGTACAAACCTTTTTCCAATACCAAGTCTCTGTCCAGTGGTTTTAGACTGACAACAACTGTTCTCAGCTCTCTGAAACAATTCCCTGGTGGTTCAGGGAACTGAAACCAGTTCATCTGTCGATGGACATTTACGTTCCTTCCATTTTGTGGTCATTCCGGGGGACAGCACGATGAACACCGTGTGTGGGTTGATGTGTGAATGTACGTTGTTTGCGGTGCTGCCGAGGGCACCATCACACCTGTTTGCAGAGCATGTACCTCAGGCTGTCGGGCGAACCCCACATCACTCTACCTCTCTTCTCTCCTTGCTGTTCACTCCTCGCACCTTCTTCATCCATCCCTTTCACCCCTTGCCCCGTTGTGCCTAGCGCTGTGCTGGGTTGAGGTCCCTCGGAAGCCACTGAGAGGTAGGCTGGTGATGGGGTGACTTAGCCGCATCCCCAGAGCTCCCGCGGGCTCTCGGGGCACAGGCTCTATGGCAGCAGCTGTGGTTACCTTGAGCCCCAGGCTCCTGGGTCACCGTGCCGTCCCCCACCCCTCCCGGATGCGATGTGCCCATGTGGGTTTTCGGCATGGCTGGGCTATGGGTCGCCCTTCCTGGCCTCACTCAGCTTCCTTGTCTCCTTCCTCTGCAGTCGGCCATCATTTCAGTCGGGTGTGACATAACAAAAAAGATCGTCGTTCAGAAGTAAGCATGTTGACACTGGGGGGATTGGGGAGATGGGCAGGCTGGGTCAAAAGGTGGCCACTGTTGTAGGTGCATGAGTGTGTCCTGCCTACTTTTTAGTATATGTTTAACATTTCCACAATTAACAGTTCAATAGTTAATACTAATAGGTGAAGTTTTGAGTTTCTGACACAGTGGCCTCCCTTCCTTCCCTGATTTGGTGACAGTCACATTTTCTCCCTCCTCCCTAATCACTTACCCCTTTGATTTCTTCTTTTCAGTCCCCCAATTCCTCATTTTAATCAAAATTGTGCAGGAACTTTTGGTTTAAATGGCGGCAGTGGGCCTCCCCGGTGGCGCAGCGGTTGAGCGCTGGGTTGTGAGGCTGCCCGCAGCCTCTGCAGCGCCGGTTCGATCCCCGGCCGCCGGGTGACGGTCCCGCATGGCGCGCAGACCTCTCCTGCCGCCCGCTGCTCCCCTCAGCAGTGTACTTGGTCCTTCTGCCTGCTCTGCTCCCCGCTCTGGCTCTGGTGAATTCTCTCACCCTCCCGCGCTTCTGACTGTACCCAGTGCTTGTATAAATAAATAAATAAATCTTATAAATAAATAAATAAATAAATAAATAAATAAATAAATAAATAAATAAATAAATAAATGCCTGGCAGAAAAACTGGGGAAGTTTGCCTTTCAGTAACCATAGTTATCCTAGGCAGCTGCAGCAAAAGAATCTAAAAAAGAAAAGGGAAGAAACCAGGAGATCGCCACATTGCCCTCCCTCCCCCTCAGGCAGCCGTGCATGCTGAGCATGTAACACCCACCAGCGATCAGTACCTGGTTCGGAGCATTTACCACCTCCCATGGTGTGATGCGCCCAGCCTGAGCCAGCAACTGGCTCACAAAACTCCCGAAGATTTAACAGGGCTCAGGAGCCAATTTCAGGGACCCACTTCCCAACAGTGGTAACAGTCAGGTGACAAATCGCCCTGCAAAGAGATAGGAATCTTTTACTGAACCAATCATTTATATATTTAGAAGATACCTGCAGGAAAGTTTTTTTTATAACTACGATGCAAAAAGATATTTACCACAAATGTCACCAATAAAGGACTTGTATCCAGAACATATGAGCAATTCCTACAAATCAGTAACAAAATGACTAATAGGAAATATGGGTAAAAGACTTGAACAGGCCCTTTCGAAAAATGAACACCTCAGAGCACTGATAAACATAAGAACTTATTAAAAGGTGCTGGAAAGATGGTCAAGCCCCATTAATAGTCAGGGAAATGAAAAAGAAAACTAATTACCACCAACGTGGCCACATTTCTAAAGCCTGGCCAGTACCAGCTGCTAGTAAGGATGGGGCGCCCTTGGCTGCTGCCTGGTGTGCACATGTTCTCAGTTGTTCTGGAAAGCACACCTTTCATCCTGGCAATGCTGCTCACGCACATGTGCACCTGTATATGGTCCAAAATGGTCTCAGTTTTTTATTCTTTTTTTTTTTAAATAGAGGCATGTTTTTACTTATTTATTTATTTGTTTGTTTTTGTTTATACATGCACTGGGTACAGTCAGAAGCATGGGAGGGTGAGAGAATTCACCAGAGCCAGAGCAGGGAACAGAACAGGCAGACTGATGAAGAAATACACTGCTGAGGGGAGCAGCGGTCGGCAGAAGAGGTCTGCGCGCCATGTGGGACCCTCCTCCGGTGGCCGGGGAGCAGCCGGGGATCGAACCGGCGCCACAGAGGCTGCGGGCAGCTTCGCAACCCAGCGTTCAACCGCTGCGCCACCAGGGAGGCCCTCAGTTTTGATTCTTAATAGCTCCAAGCCTGAATCAAGCCAACTCAAAACCCACTGGCAGGCAGATGGCTACACTGAGTATGGTGGGTGCTGAGAACCCTAGCTTGGATCAACAACCCCCTCACCCACCCAGAAGACCCCCTGAACACCCACCTGCTGGCTGATATGACCAGCAACGTGTCCCCTGATTACCATGTGCTGCAGGGACATGAGGGCATCGCCTCTATCATTGACGGCCGGGTGTCCTTCGACAGGTCACCGTGAGTGGTTCACCTGGGGGGCGTCCTGTGGATGAGGCCTCGTGACGGTCCAGGTCTTATGACGGTCCAGGCTTTCCGGTGCACTGAAGAGCTGGGGAAGCCTGTCCCACTGTCTGGAAGCCAGGCAGGACACGAGCCCCATGTGGCCAGTTGTCTAGATACAATCAGGCAGCAGGCTTGGCCAGCCCTGGTGCTGGCCCTTACCTGTGCCCCTGTCTGGGTACCCTGTGCTGATGCAGGACAGGGCAGACCTGCCCCTTAGAACCCCACAGTTTTCCTGGGGGAAGATCAAGGACTTCTCATGCTTCCACCTGGGAGCTGGTAAATGGTGACCCCTTCTCTGGAGGCCACCTCACAAGACACAGGCCTAACTAATAAAGTATTAGGGGTGGAGAAAACTGAGCATGGTGTTTTAATACAGGGGCTCTCATGACAATGAAAACCATCAAGGCAGTGAATGGGCATGGATGGTACAAATGTGGACGGGGCGGGGAAGACACACACGGACACAGACTCCGTGAGCCTATCCGTGCAAGTTCAAAATCAGGCAAAAATGAGCCTCACTGCCCAAGGATGCACATGCAGATGGGACAGTCCGAAGAAAACGAGGGAATCACCTCAAAGTCAGACCCAGATTTATCCTCCAAACCATTTTCCAGGCCAAGGAATCAGGGCTCTTTGGGGAAGCAGCTGATTTTATGTGTGACAAGAAGATACCAGATGAGCCTGGAGCATCTTGGAAAATCAGTGAATAAAAAGGAAATGGTTCAAAAAACCAAACCCATTGGGGATATATAATGTTAAAGGGAAAAACTGAGTTCTGTGTGAGGTCAGAGAGAGATTCTCACCATCTTCTGTTGTTTGCAGCAAAGTCTCGGCCTGTTCCAAAGGCATCCTCGATCCCAGGACCCTTCAGGAGAATTACTACTACGTCATCGAGAAGTGAGCCCAGGCTTTGCCCACCCCTCTGCCCCCCACTCATCACCATTTGGCATGCGTGTGCCAAAGACAAATCAAAAATCGTTTTCTAATTGACATCTGGCCAGTGGGACTCAGGGCAGGTAGGGGAGGCTGACCTTGAGGGAGTCAGTGATTTCGTGATGCGCCAGGCCCAGCTGCCCAGGCTCTGAAAGTCCTGCCTTGCCCCCGTCACACCCCAGCCTGCTTTTCACGCAGGGGAATGGTCACCATCTGGGTGGTGGACTCAGCGAGATGCTGTCGCCCAGGGTGGCGGGGTAGCAGAGGAAACAGCCCTTAGGAAGCATGGCGGTCCCGGGTGCCGCCTCACAGCAGGCGGTGGGGCTCGGCCTTCTTGGCACCAGACACGAAAGCCCTTTCTGGGGCAAAGCCACAGCAGCAGGCTGGAGACTGGGAAGCATTCCCAGCAGAGTTCCTTCTTGCTCCAGGGGTGGGGAAGGGGAGGTCAGTCTTTTTCTCTGCTTAGACCTTCAACTTCACCCCCATTTAGGAGGGTAATTTGCTTTACTCCAAAGCCCACTGATGCAAATATTAATCTCATCCACCAAAAACACTCTCACAGAAACTTCCAGAACAATGTTTGACAACATGTGGGCACCAGGGTGCCCAGGGGATCCCAGGTTCGTTCTGAGCATTCCCCAGATGCCCCTCCTCTTGCAGCGACCCACCCTGGAGAGTAGAGACCCAGGCCAGTGGACATCTGGGGCACCTGGAGGCCGCTCACCCCACCCCTGCGTCCTGCTCTTCCGCAGGGAAGCCTATGACCCCAACTATGAAGGACATAAGGCCGACGTGGACCTGGTGGTGTCTTACCGCTACGAGAGGCTGGGGTGCCCGCTCCTGGTCTACTACCACTCTCTGTGGAAGCCCGTGGTGGAGCTGTAAGTCCCAGTGGGGCATAGCGGGGCATCAGCCTGGCACCCCCCCCCCATTACCTTCAGACCTCTCCACACCCACAGGCCCCCCGGCTTTGCCTTCGTTGTTCCCCCTCCTGCCAGCACACCAGGCTTGCCCAGCTCTGGCTCTCAGCTCCCACAGCGCCCCCTCCCCCTTCACCACGCCGCAGGCCCTGGGGCTTGGGGGAGGCAGGGCTTAGACTTAAAAGTGGATTGTCTCCCAGTGCTAGAGGCCAGGGGTCCAGGGTCAGGGGGTGGCGCGCAGGTTTCCCCCGAGGCTCCCTCTTCTGCTCGCTGATGGTGCGATGGCGGCTCCTTCCGGGGTCCTGACGCAGCACAAAAGCGCGCAAATGTCTCCCCATCCAATCAGGACCCATGTGACCTCATTTAACCTTAACTACCTCCTTAAAGTTGTCACCTCCAAATAGAGGGTTAGGGCTTCAACATAGGAATTTGGGGAGACACAGTTTGTCCCCTTTCCGTGGATTCTATCTTTTTTCATTGTATCTGCAACCTCCGCTGTGTCATTTCTGCATTTATGTGGGTGGTTTATGATCCAGGGTACCACAGGCCCCGGCTCCTCAGGGCCAGAGTCTTGACTCCATTATAACCCCAGGCCAGCTCTGCCCAGAGTACTGTCTGTGGTAAGGGAAATGTTCCATAAATCTGCATCCTCCGATCCAGTGTCCATGACTTACTTGTGGCTACAGAGCACTTGAAATGTGGCCAGTGCACCCGAAAAGCCGGCTTTTCAATTTTATTTAATTAGAATTAATTTAAATAAGTGCTTGTAGGCCAGTGGCTCAGTTCAGTGCCTGGCACATTTTCTTTTTCTTTTTTTTTTTTGTTTTTAAAGATTTATTTATTTATGCATACAAGAACTGAGGTACAGGCCAGAGGTGGGGGGGGGGGGCAGAGGATTCACCAGAGACAGAGTAGGGAGCAGAATAGGCCGATCGACCGAAATACACTGCTGAGGGGAGCAGCGGGCGAGACAGGAGAGGTCTGCCATGCCATGTGGGACCCTCACCCGGCGGCTGGGGATCGAACCGGCACTGCAGAGGCTGCGGACAGCCTCTCAACCCAGCGCTCAACCGCTGCGCCATGGGGAGGCCCAAAATTGCTTCTTTTTTCTGGAAACCTCAGCTTTTGCTCTCAATGCTTTAGGCTCATTAGACAAGACCCACTCGTATTAGCGAGTTCAATCTGATTAACTTTAAAAGGATGCGTCTACAAAGCACCTCACAGCAACACCTAGACTAGCATTTGGTTAAATAGCTGGAGCCGGGGCCTAGTCGCACTGACATGGAAAACTAAGCTTCACAGCACATTCCAGGTGTGGATGTCTTTGAGGACCCGTTGTTATTGTGTTAGCAGGCGCGGGAAGGCCCAACGAGGGTTTGGGCTGGCTTTGATGAGAAGTCATCGGGCCTGTTGACAGGGTCAGGAAGGAGAGGGGAGGACCCAGCTTGGCTCCCATATGTTGGCTGAGCAGCTGGCTGCATGGGGGGAGGAGCAGGAGATGAGGAGGTCAGGATTTTGTCTTTGGACTTCAAATATCAAAACTCTAAAGCCTGGGGTTTTATTTGTACGAAAGGGGGCCCTTGGAGGGTTTTATCCAGAGGCCACATGGTACGTTGGTGGGAGAGGTTAGGAGCACAGATGAGGGCAAGGGGGTAGAATCTGGATACGGCGGCAGGCAGGCAGATGCGCCAGGAGACAGGTGAATGAAGGCAAGTTGGGGGTCTGACCTGGAGTAGGTGAGGTGGGCATGGAAAGCAGAGGGGGGGTAATAGGAGAGAACTTTAGGGGGTGAAATCCACAGACCCTAGTATGGTGATCAGAGACCAAGGATGAGCCTTGGGCTTCTGGGTGGGGAGAGGGGGGATGTTTAATGCCAGGACACAGCGCAGCCACGGCCCCCCACACCCCGGCCTGTGTGCTCTCCGGGGATGATGAGACTGAGGAGCAGAGAGGGAAGCCTTAGGGGGTGGTGGGTGAGGGTGACAGTGTGATCAGCTGGGCAAGGCGGTGGAGGATGACCAGCAGGTACTTGGCACCTCTGGGGTCCAGGGACATGTGTGTGAGTGCTGTGGTTGGCACTGGGCTTTGGAACTGGGCCCCAGCTCTTCTGTCCCCTCTATGTGTTTGGCTAGAATTGCCCCTCATTATTCTAAAATGGTGCCTTTTCTGATGTCACACACTCAGTTAGCCCAGCCCTCCCCAGCTCAGAGTGTCCCAGGGGAGCAGACAGCAGAGGGAAGCGGCTGGATTCCCTGGCTCCCACACAAGGCTCTGTGTCAAGGGACCTTGGGAGGTGACTTTATTGCTGTGCCTCAAATCCCTCCTCTCTCAACTACGACATCACCCACCTCACAGACTGTGGCGAACATAAAACAAGCATAAAGGACTTGAGTTTTCTGATTTAGCACGTGGCTGTGATCTCACACCTGGGGGATGCCAGGTGAAGGGTGTGCAGGGGCTCAATGTACTATTTTTGCAACATCTTGTTAGTCACGAACTATTTCAGAATAGAAAGACATAGTCAAGAATAAAATCTCAGGCCTCCCCGGTTGCGCAGCAGTTGAGTGCTGGGTTGTGAAGCTGCCCGCAGCTTCTGCAGCGCCGGTTCGATCCCCGGCCCCCAGGCGAGAGTCCCACATGGAGCACAGACCTCTCCTGCCGCCCGCTGCTCCCCTCAGCAATGTATTTCGTCAGTCTGCCTGTTCTGCTCCCCGCTCTGGCTCTGGTGAATTCTCTCACCCTCCCGCGCTTCTGACTGTACCCAGTGCTTGTATCAATCAATAAATAAATCTTTAAAAAAAAAGAATAAAATCTCAACACAGTCACTGTATAAGCTTGAGTGGCCAGGTGACCTCAGGACCCGCGTCCTGCAAAAGGCAGAGCCAGCCAGAAGTGCTGTGAAGAGAAAGAAAACAGATGCCAAGGACAAGATGGGGCATCTGAGGTTTCGGAAAAGGTCCAGGGCCATGAGTGCATGCAGCTGAAGAGGAAGAAGGGAAAGGTTTCTGGAAGCGAGGCTCCAAGCACCCTTCTGCGTGGACGGGGCACTGGCGATGGCTGAAGCTGTCAGGTGCCTGTTCCTGAGTGTCAGTTTGGAACCAGATTCTGTTTCTCTGGGAGCAGCTATTCTCTACCTTCGCATGTGCACCACCCACACATACTCATGCCACACACCCAAGAACTCACATGCCCAGACACACAGGCCTGCACACACTTGCACATGCACAGCACACAATGCATCATGTACGTGTGTGCAAGCACACACACGCACGCTTGCACACACCCCACCCACGTGCCTTCAGTGCATCCCCACAAACACAAGTCCACATGCACACATGGCACTCAAGGTGGGTGAGTGCACAGGCACACACACTGCACACACACCTCTCTAAAATCCAGTTTTTGCACTGTCAGCAGAGGACACAAAATGTGCATGTGACGATTTCGAACAACACTAATTAGCAGCCCTAAACTCTACGCTTGCCAGTGTGCAGAAAAACACCAGAGGACAGGTGTGAAGGGTTTGGGTTGTTTATTGGCTTACTGAAGAGTCTAGAACATTACATCTATTCTCTGCTCATGTGCCCTTTTCTCAGAGAGCCCTTTAGTGGCCACTCCACAGAAAATCCTCAGAGGCGCTCCTGGCACCTGCCACCCCACTCTGCCCTTACCTGCTGCTGCGCACTCACCTGTTGACTCTGAAATGTCAATCCGGTGAGGCCAGGGGGTGGGGGACCTGCCTTGCTCTGCCACCCCCTCACATACACCCAAAAAGGTCTCTCCATACGTCAGGCCGCATGCCCCGGCCGCCCTCAGCCCCGCCCTGCCGTGTGTCCTAGGTGGCGCGGAGAGAGCTTCCAGGAGATAGTCGAGGCGGAATACGTGTTGCTGGAGCTGAACGGGCTGTTCACGTACAAGTACTCCCTGACCGCCCACACCGCGCACTGTTCCTCGCAGCCCCAGAACTGGAGCACCATCAGAAAGGGCAGCTTCAAGGACGACGCCTTCTCCTGGAGCCGAGAGGTACTCTTTATGCTGGCGAGTCCCCAAAAGAAGCTCTGAGTGACACATCAGGGATCACCAGAGGGTGACAACTGGTCACCCCCGGGGTGTGTGTGGGGCGGGGGAGGAGGGGAGGGCAGTCCCAGTGCGTCTGGGCTGTGAGAGCAGCTCCCAAGCAGCAGAAATTTATTCCTTGTGGTTTCGGAAGCTGCAAGTCCAAGATCAGGGCGCCAGCAGGTTTGGTGTCAGTGAGTCCCAGCTCCTGCTTAGAGGTGCCTCTTGTTTCGCGCTCACATGGCAGGAAGGGCAGGGAGCTCTCTGGGGTCTCTTCTAGGGCGCTACTCCCATTCCTGAGGGCTCCATCCTCCTGACCTAATCACCCCCAGTGCCCGCCCACCTCCTCCTGGGGAGTTAAGTTTCAGCACATGGATTGGAGAGAGGGGCACAAGGGCTCAGTCAGGAGGTCAAGGGATGGGAGCTCATAGGGACCCCTTGGGCCTGGAGCCAAGTCCTGTGGGAAGTGACCGAGGATTCGGAGGTGCCCTCCCCGGGGTGCTGTGGGGCATTGCTGGAAATGTGCAAAATTCTGGAACCATTCAAAAGCCCATTCATTGGGAGACTGATTCAATTCACGGCCTGCTCAGCAAACGTTTCTATAATGCACATTGGTTCACACGCAGTTGACAAACAGGGGCATGCTCTCATTATAAGAAAGAAATCCCGCTCTGTGGTGAGCTCTCTGGCTGCAAATCCCCGGTGTCCATGTCCCCCAAGGCCTGCTCTCACCAGGGGCACCAACACAGCGCAGTGCAGCAACACGGCCGACAGGGGGCGCGCGCTGCCCGCAGCGGAAGCCATCCCCACCCCCCCCTTGCCTGTGTTTGCTGTTACATCCCTCCCACCAGATGCCTTTGATCATTTGTTTTACTGGTGACGTTGGTTTTGTTAGTGGGCAGAGCAAGGAGCACCCTGGAACCCCCAGACTTGCACGCTCGAACGGGGTCTGGCCATCCGTGTACGCCCAGCACACTTAGAGTGAAAGAACTTTAATAGGATGAGTGTGGCTAGAGAGAGACGAGAGGGTCATAATTTCCCCATAAAACACCCAGTTACCATCCCTCATGGATAAATGTCCAGTCAAACAGGGTTGGCCCAGAGCTGGGCCTGAGAGCTTGCCACAGTCTAAGGAACCTTCTGGCGGGAACCACAGGAAGGGGGCAGAAGGGGCCTGGTGAACGGAGCCAACGCGGACAAATCCAGAAGGCGCCACTGTCAGCCTCCCCGCGGGTCTCGCCCCCACGTGTCTTCCAAGTGCCTCTACCTGTCTCCCCTCTACGCGTCTCCACCTAGTCCCCCAGGGCCCTGGAGCAAGTCCGAAGCCAAGAATCAAGCGCCTCCGTGTGTCACGGCTTCACCAGGCGCGCTGCCTCCCGTCGTCAAGGGGCCCGGGCACTGGTACCGCCGCTTGCGTGGAGATGTCCCAGTTGCTGCTTTTTTTAACTGAAATTAAACTCAGATAAGCTGTGATCAGCTCATTTAAAGTGCCACTCCCGTGTGCATGGACAGTGTTCCACGAGCGCAGGGAGGAGGAGAGCAGGACGAGGGCTGTGGGCCCAGCCGCTCCTCCATGGAGGTCATGACCAGCCCGCCCAGCGGCCCTGGGCCCCGGGCCAGCTCCCACGAGAGTTTGCTGCGTGGGGCCCACGTGTAACTGCGCTTGGGGCCGAGAGCATCTGCCAGGCACAGGTGGGCCCTCCCAGTCCTCGGGCCCAGGGGACGCCTCTGTCCTCCCCAGAACTACATGAGCTGCCACGACCCTGACAACCATGACCCCTTGCTTTGGCCGAACGTCCAGTACCAGATCTTGGGAGGCCCCACGGACAACAGGATCGCTTTCAACCAAAGGAACGGCATCTACATCTTCCTCCTTTCCATTGTGGATCCACACTACACGTGAGAAGGGGAGCACCCGTGGTGGAGGTCGGAGTGGGGTTGGCAGCTGGCTCTCTTGGAGCTGGTGCACAGGTATGGGGGAAACCCCACTTTCTTCCTACACCTGGAAGGTTCTGGATCAAGCTGTATTTCCCCCCAATAGCTCGGCCTGTGCCCAGAAGAGTGCGTGTTCTGTTCTGGGTCACATTGTTCACTCATTCAGTAAACATTCATTCAGAGCCCGCGCCGGGGGCCGGGGGCACGGCAGTGATGGCCAGTCGCGTCCTAGCCCTTGAGGACCAGTTTCCCTCTAGTGCCACAGCAGATTGCGGCATAGCACAGCCCGCTCACACTGGCGCCCAGGAGCCCATCGTCACGCACGTGTGGTGTGTAACAAACATTACGTGTATGTAACAGAGAGTAGCATTTGGGAGCTTTGCAAGCCTCCTGACTCCCCATTGTCAGCCTGAGGTTGGCTGTGCCCAATCTCAGGGTGTACTGACACCTTGGCAATCAGAGCCCGCTGCGAGCTGGGCCTTGGCCCCAGCCCCGGCGCCTCCCCTTCCTCGCTGAGAGCTTCTCTTCCTCTCAAGTCGTGAAATATTTACCACCCAGACATGCTGAGATTTCGGAAGCCACCTCTGGGCTTTGCTGGGGTGAAGGCTGGGGCCCCAAGGCCAGCGCCCAGCGCTCTCTCCCCGTCTGCCCCCTGCAGCTACTGCTCCCTGCAGACCACCTTCAGCGTGTTCGTCTATGGGGCCTCCCCGGTGAGAACCATCTCCTTCGAGTTCTGGGTCACAACGATCATGCTGAGCTTGCTGCTGTCCGTGTGTCTGGCCTACACAATCCCCAGACAGATCAACACCAAGTTGGGCCTCAGGGTCAGGAAGACATGCATGTGTCTGTGCAAGAACATCAGGAAGATTTGCAGGTGTCTCTGCTGCAGGAAGGGGAGGTAGTGTAGACACGGAGCGCGCCCCCCCACCCCTCCCCGCATGCCTGCCGCCACCCCCCCCCCGCCCCCGCCCCGGGCCCCTTGTCTGAGAATAAAGTGTTATCTGAAAGGAAGCAGGCTCGGCAGGCACCCCCGCCTCGTGTCCCTCTCCCACCGCCCGCACCTCGCTGCCTCCCTCCGCCGGTGTCAGTTCCTCTGGTGGCCGCGCCTGAGTTGCGTGCGGCCGGGAGAAGCTGGGCGCCGGGACCGTGGGACGGTGGTCACGCCAGCCGGCGCATCATACCAGGGACGACGGGCGGGACGTCAGAGGCCGAGATGCGGAAACTGGCAGGAGGGGGTGAGAGTGACGGTGGGGTTTCATCCCTGAGTGAATACACCCCAAAACTCTTGTGCGTGGGCCACGCGTCTGGGCACTTTGCGGGAGTCTGGGGGAGCAGTGTGCGCCTTGTGACGGGGCCTGTTTGGCTCCAAGGACCCCTCGATCAGCTCCGCCACTATGTTCTCCCCAGTCCGGTGGGTTTTCTCTGGGGACTCCACTTTCCCCTACACCCCGAAGATGTGCACGTGAGGTGCACTGGCATGTCCACACTGCCCCCGCCGGAGAAAGGTGGGGGTGCAGGAGAGTGGCCTGGTGTAGAAGGGGGTCCTGTTCTGGTTGGTTCCCTCCTCGCGCCCCCAGATGCTGCTGCCAGGAGAGGCGTTGGCCTCCAAGACCTGGAACTGGAATGGCAGGTTGGAAAACAGATCAAAGTATGACCCTAAATGATTGTGGAATATCAGACAGGTGTGGGATCTTTATTTACAAGTCTGGTGATGTGTTAGTGACCAGAAATAAGCCATAGGAATTTACTTCTGGTTTTTATCCATGAACTTCTGGCCAAATTGGTTTCATTCTCCATCGTTTAAAGTCTGCATTTCCAAGGACCTATTAATGACATTAAGTGAGGACTAACTGGACATGTTATTCATGCGTGTGTATACACGTACACACGTGCGCACAGCAATGTCGGTGTGGACGTGTGCCCACACGTGTGTAACACATACACACGTGCATGCATCCACGGTATACACCAGTGCACGTCTGTGTGAACGCCCACCGTGTGCATACATGTCCATGTGTGTCCATGCACGCGCCGACCTACTGCTCCTGTAGACACTCGCGCATATAGGAGCGTGTCCACGTAAGCGTGTACGTTTGTGCAGCCAGGTGTAGGCAGTGCACACACAGGTGTGCACCAGGAAAACACCTCCTCGGGGTCACCTCGCACTGCAGGGGAGGAGGGGTGGCCAGCAGCTCTCTCAGAAGGTAGGCCAGAGCCTGCAAGAGGCTTCCAGGGAAGGAGAAGCGGAGGAGGAGCCAGGTGGAGAGGCAGCAGGTGCGAGGGAGGAAGGGCACAGAGACTCTCTGGGAGTGCCCGTCCTCAGAGGCCAGGAGGCAGAGACCATGGTCAGGCCGGGGGCGGGGGGTGGACCCACCACTCGAGGCCTTGCTGGATGCCCCTCCTGAGACAAGTTTCATCTCCCTGACCTCCTGCCCTCACCTAAACTCAGGTGCCCGCTGCCCACCCCATCACCTATGCCAGGCGGGCGCTGTCTCCACATCCCCCCCAGCCTCCCCAGACCATCAGGTGCCTCTGCCTGCATCAGCACCTGCCCTCCTCATCCTGGGCCCTGCCTGCTTGCTCGTGGCGAGGGTCCCTCCCACTCCCCTGGCGTCCCTTCCTCCCCGCCATGCTGTCCGCCTGTCCCCGGCCGTGGGCTGAGGCCAGGTCTGGCCACCCTGGCCCCTCAAAGACCTTCCCCTTCCTCTGCTGGTGGGGGCTTCGGGGAAGGAGAGGCAGGGGGAGGCGGGGGCTGCTCGCAGGCTCCGCCCTGCTTGCTGCCGGGCTCCAGGCAAGTTCTGCTACTTTCTGGGCAACTGGGGCTTTCCCTGCGGACCGGAGGGCGGAGATCCTCACAGTGCAAGGCAGTGTGGGCAGCATCTTCCACGACCCCTCATCCCTACCTGTGACTCCGATTTTCCGGGGTTCGGCGACGAGGGATCTAGAATTCCCTGCAAAGCAGGATTCCTGCTTCGAAAGCCTGGCACCTGGGAGGCGCCGGGGTCCTGCCGGGTTTCAGCATGTGGCCTGGGGTCCTCTGGGGGCCTGGGGGAGGGGACAGCCCTCCACACCAGGCCCCCGATGCCACCAAGTACACACTGAACTGAGAGATCATACACGCTTTAATGGGGGGTGGTTCGCAGGTCCTGCCTGGGCCCCGAGGCGGTGACGCTGGCTGGGCCTGCAGCCTGCTTGCCCTTGCTGGCCTGCCTCCCCTTCCTGGCGGAGGCGGCGCTGGCCTTCTTCCTGCCGGCCGGTTCAGACCGTAGCGCGGGAGCCGCGGTGGTGGTGCTGGTGGTGTGGGGCCCTGGGCGGGCTGGCGGCTCCTCATCCAGCGCCTTGAAGTTGAAAAAGTAGTCCACGTTGGACACCGTGTCCAGGATCTCAGGCACGCTGTAGTCGAAGGACAGCAGCTCGTCTGGCAGGTGCAGCGAGCGGATGTCGCCGGAGGAGTCATCCCCACCGCCCCCGCTGTCCGGCAGGGCTGGCCCCGGGGCCTTGCACAGGGACCCCTCACGTTCAGTGCTTCCTGGCAAGCAGTCAAAGAGCTTCATGGCGTCCTCCAGCAGCACCTTCTCGGGCAGCACAAAGGCCCTGGCTGCCTCAGGGGTCCTGGCCTCGCCTGCCCCCAGAGGGGTTGTCTCTGCCTCGGCTGCCTTGGGCTCTCTGGGGCCCAGGGGGTGCAGCAGGCCTGGCCTGGCCCCACCACCCTGCAGCTCCTTGGTGGGGAAGGCCAAGGGCTCCACGGGCCGTCCAGCCATCTCGGGCCCATGGACCTGGCTGAGGCGGCCCTTGAGGTGGCCGTAGGCGCCAGGAGGCAGTGTGGTCTCAGTGGGCAGCGTGATGAGCAGCGGGGGCAGCTTGTTCTCTTTGGGGAGCGGGGGAGGTGGTGGTGGGGCCAGGCCTTCCTTGAGCAAGGCTGGAGGCAGCTCCACAAAGGCAGGGGGTCCCCCATCCGCCACAAAGCCCAGGGCCTCTGGTCCCGGCCCCTCTGGTGGGAAGTAGGGCATGAGGTACTGGGGACCCCCGGGCGCCGGCTGGTAGTTAGGGTAAGGAGGGGGAGGCACTGGGCCCTTGAGGTAGTGCTGGGGCTCTAGGAGGTAAGTGCCTGGTGAGGTGGGGCTCCCGGCAGGACCCCCAGCTGGCCCCACGCTGCCCACTGCCGCCAGCTTGTACAGGGACGACTGGCCGAAGTCGGTGGTGGCCCACTCAATTCGGTAGATGCGAGGGTCAAAGAAACACCCACAGGGCGCCATCTGGAAACCTGGGGACCAGGAGTGGGGGAGGGGCAGCCCTGAGAGGAGCAGCTCCTGGAAGCCACCTGACTGGTCCCACAGCCCATGTTGGGGGTTTGGTGTGAAAGGAACACTGCCCACACCTTTGGGGTACATCTGTGAGATACAGGGCATAGACCTGGCTTTGGGCCCCATTTGGGACAGGGGCACAGGTCTTGCCTTTGGGCCTCATCTAGGGGATGGAGCTAGCATGTCTTGGGCCTTGCATGTGGGGGTCTTTCTAGGAGATGGCAGTCAGGGGTCTTGGTTTGGAGGCCCTTTGCGGGACAGGGACATGGGCCATGTTTTGGGGGGGCCATCTAGGGATGGGGTGGGGGGGCCTGCCTGCTCTAACCCACTCCCGGGTCCTCATCAAGGGTTGGGGAGGCCAGTACCTGCTGGAGGGGCCGGAAACACCTCTTTCTCAGGGTTTGGGGGGTGATACAGATTGGAGGAACCTGTGGACAGAGGCAGGCAGTAGGGCCCTCAGGCTGGCGGGCACAGCCCTGGGCCCCAACCCCGTCAGTTCACCATCACTTGCTGCCACCCCCCAACTCGTACCCACAGCAAGAAGGGGCTCCGTGCAGGAGGGTGCTGGCTGGCTGCCCGGCCCCTCAGTGCTGTCCAGGCCCCCAGGGCTGAAGCTTTCTTGAGGAACTGCAGGTGCGAAGAAGGGCTTGGGGTGCTGCATAGGGAGGCAAGGGGCCCAGCCAGGGAGGTCAGGAAGGTGGCAGGTGGGAGCACACGTGGCCCCTCTGGGGAGCAGGGTCAGAGTCCTGCGGAGTTCTGTTTGCCCGGTTACTCTGGGCGGCGGGTTCCAGTGTGGCCCGCCCACTGGCTGGGTTCCGGGTACGGGGGTGGGGGTGTACGGGCAGACAGGGAAGCCAAGGTAGCTAGAGATGTCACCAAAGGCAGGATGAACCCTGGGCCTGGCCTCTGCCTTCTGCCCCCGCCGGCGATGCCCAGCTGACGGTCCTGAGGGGCCCTCGTGCAGGCAGTGGGCCGGGTTCACACCCACACAGGCTGACCCCCCGGTGAGTCAAGGTGGCTCCTTTATGGCCAAGGCTTCTCTGAGCCCACAGGAATAGAATGAGTGAATGGGGAGGGGGGTGTTGCCAGGGACAGGGCAGGTCTATGGTCCAGGGAAAGTTCCCTGGAGCAAAAAGGGGCAGCCTCAGCGTCTAAGAAAGAGCCATGTCTTACAAGAATAAAATTTATTGTCATCTCACGCACTGGGAGGCCCTCCGTGTTTCAGATGCCTCCCCACCGCCACCCTCCTCCTACTACTTGTAGGCATTGGCCTTGTGCTTCGGCAGGAAGACGAAGTTGGGTGGCACAGGGCCCAGCAGCATCTCGCTGTGAAGGAGAGGCAGGGGGCAGGTCAGGCCTGGCACCTGGGCACGCGGCTCCCACCGGCTGCTCGGTCCCCCACCCCCCAGCACCCCTGGGCACCTGAGGCGGATCCAGTCCGCCGCCTTCTGGCTGGCCATGAGCGTCTCCAGGTAGTCGCGGCCCATGTAGTAGGGCGGCCGCTCATTGATCCTCTGTGGGAGCCGCTCCAGCAGGCCCACGGGCACATACCTGCAGGCGGGCGGGCAGGGTGGGGTCAGACCAGGCCCACGACACCCCCCCCCCACGCTGCGTCCCCGCGGCCCACCTGCACAGGAAAGAGAGCCACTCGAGGAGGAAACGGCGGGTCTTCTCCACGCCCTGTGTGTCCGAGCCCCAGTGCTCCAGGCCGTAGTGTGTGAAGTCCCGCAGGATGTCCATGCGCTCGGAGGACGAGATGTCCCAGTGCCGCTGCTCCTTGATCTCTGTGAACAGCCATGGCTTGAGCAGGGCGCCGCTGTGGGGAAGACGGGGCAGGCAGCGGTCAGCAGGCCGCAGCCCCCTGAACCCAGTCCCAAGCCTCCCAGTTGTGATCACATAACCCAGAGAGCCCGTAAGTTCCAGCCCCAACGTCCACAACCGTGGAAATGCCCACGCCCCCCACAACCTCCTCCCCAGACCCACCTCCCCTGGACGCCCCGCCCCGCCACTCCCATGCTGCCAGAGCAGTGGCGAGGCGGTCGGTCAGGCTGGGGGCACTGGCTGATGTGACCAAGCTTAGATGTGCCCTCGCCCTGAGCTGCAGGTTGGGCACATGGGGGGCTCTAGTTGGTTCTTTGGGCACACTTACCGGGCAATCATGATTCCCGAGACGCCGGTCTGCAGGGCGCAGTTGGCATCCTCGTACGATAAGATGTCCCCGTTCCCTGAGGGGACAGAGGCAGGATCTCGAGGGGTTCTGTGCAGTGGAAACGCCGAGTTCCTGTCAGCCCAGGGTCCCCCGATGGCGCAGAGGGGTTCCAGGGAGGGGTGGGGCAGGTGTGTGGCCTTGGACGGCAGGGCTGGGGGGGCGCTGAACGGCAGAAGACCCACCAAACAGGGGCATGGGGCTGGCCGCCGTCACACACCGCTGGATGTACTGCCAGTCGGCCAACTTGGTGTAGCGCTGCTCCCGAGAGCGGCCGTGGAGCTGGGGGAGAAGCGGCCGCATGTGGAGGGAGGGTCCAGGGAGGTGGAGCATCAGACCCAGAGAGAGACCCAGAGAGCGAGAAAGACAGGCTGAGAGAGAGAGAGACGGTGAGACAGACAGATGGAGGCAGACATGGAGGGAGAGCCGGAGAGGAAGAGCAGGAGCAGCGAGAGAGAGACTGTTAGGAAGGGGTGCCAGCTTCCCCAGGCCCCGCCCCCCGCTGCGCCCCGAGACCCACCGTGACCAGGGCGGTCCCCCAGTCCCGCAGCTCAGGCAGCAGCCGGTGCGCCAGGTTCACGCGCTCCTGGATGCCCGTGCGGATCTTCACCGTCAGCGGCACGTCCAGCACCTGCGGGGACGCCGAGGTCAGCAGGGCCCGGGCTCGGGCAGGGGCGGGGCAGGATCTGGAAGCGCACCTGGTTCATGCCGCGGACGATCTGCTGGAACTTGGCCGAGCGGTTCATGAGGGCACAGCCCCCGCCCTAGGAGAGACAGAGGGTACTGGAACAAGGCGGGGTGGGATCCGGGCTGGATCCCTCAGTGCCCACCTTATCCCAGCCGGCTCAGCACCACCCCCGCCCGCAGTCAGATGGGGAACGAGGCATGAAGGCCCCCACCCTCCCATGCCCTGCCACCCTGCCCCAGGGCCAAGTGGCGGCTACCTTCTTGTACACGAGGTCGATGGGGCAGCCGACGTTGATGTCCACGAAGTCCACCTCGATGGTGCGGTTCAGCAGCTCGGCACACTTGGTCATGGTGTCGGGGAAGGCGCCTTCCAGCTGTGGCGGGCGGCAGAGCAGGGGGAGAGGGTCAGCTCTGACCATCTCTTTGGCCACTGTCCCTTGGGGAGCCTTGGGCTAGTGACCCATTTCCCTGACGTGACCCCAGGCCAAGGTCATCAGTCCTTCTGGCATGTGAGGCAGACACCTCTGACCTGTGGCTGAGGCAGGAGGGATCTGGGAAGCGACTGAGCAGAGCAAGCTGCCCCCGAACTGTGCTCCCGAACTTGGCAGCTAAGAGCCCTTCCTCCCTCCCTCCCTTGGGGCGACACCCACCTGGATGCCAAAGATGTCCTCACACGAGTGGCGTTTGAGTAGGGCCCACTCAGATGTCTGCCCCTGCAGCAGGTTGGTGCAAACAGCCATCTCCCCACATGTCACGTCAGCGCCAAAGCGCTTACAGATCCTCCGAAAGGGCAGGTTCCCACACTGAAGGCAACAGGACCCAGACATGAAGGTGTGGCAGGTAGCGATCCCAGACTCCTGCCCAGCCCGAGACCCTCCAGGCAGAGGCACACACTAGGCACTACCACAGCGTCACAACATCACTGCCCAAGCCACCCTGTATGGGTCCTACCGTGGTGAGGGGGGCCAGGTACAGTTTGCCACTGATGTCCAGCTAGAGGGAAAGAAAATGCTTGGTGAAGCTCTGCCCTCCAACTGGAACTTTGAAACCTCTCCAGTCTCCCTTCTTCCCGCCATCTGTGACATGCTTTGACCTGTTCCAACTGGCCCAGCATCCTTACACCCCTGATACTCTGCACTTGTCAACCTATCCCCCAATGGGGAGTGAACCTTTCTCCTCTGCCAGAAAGCTTCTACTCGTCCTTCAAAACCCCATTCCCAATGCCTCCTCTTCTAAGAAACCTTTCCACCACTTCTGTCACAGTCCTCTAGAGTTGGGAATATGTGTCCAACTCCCTCTGCTCACCCCTCCCCTCACACACACTGCTAGTGTCCTCAGCAGGGAGCACCAGACACGAACCCGTTTCTTCTCACAGGACCGTAGCCTGATTATGTCCTCATCAGTCAGGGGCCCACAGGTCTGCACAGGGCTGCTGGGAGGGGCACTGGCATCCTGCTCCAGTGGGGCTTGTTGGGCATCACAGTTTTCCTGCCCTGGGGCACCATCAGCCCCTATGACCTTGGGGACAGTGGCAGTGGGTATGGAGCCTGGCAGCTGGCCCTTGCTTAGCTGGCGCAGAGCCTGCTCAGCACGTTCAAAGTAGACCTTTCGTTTTCGCAGCTGCTGCTGCAGTGCCTTGTCCAGGCTGTTGCGGATGGGCGGGGCCTGGACCAAATCTGCCTGCACCAGGTTCTGACCCTCAGGTCCTAGGTGGGCTCCAGCAAAGCGGCAGGTGACACCATAGGGGCACCTGCCAAAGGTTTCAAAGAGCACACAGCGTGGGCCCAGGTCAGGTGGCTTGGTCTCCAGGTAGTGGCCCACATCATGCAGGAAGCGGCAGCGGTCACCAAAGAGACACTTGTCAGCTGACTCCTGTTGAAAAACAGGCGGACAATGCAGGAGGTCAGGGAGAAGCTGGGGTGGCAGGCAGCCTGTATCTGAACCCCAGATCCACCCTTTCCTGGCTGTGTGTCCTGAAACAAGTCAGTAACCTCACATGGAAAGGATAACAATGAGGATTGAGTTGGGGTTAGAGAGAGGACAATTAACAAATGCCAGAAAATAAAACCTGTGTGAACCTTCCTGTGGCCACACTCACCTGCACCAGGGAGGGGCACAGCCTGTTCTTGTCATAGTGGGTGGGCTTCACATGGGGCCGGGCCTTGTTCTGGCCCCGGGCCCTCTTCTGAGCCTGTGGCTGCTCCTTGGCTTCCTCTGCCTCATCCTTCTGCTTGTCCTCTTTCTGCCCATCTTCCAGTCGGATCCTCTTGGCCTCAGGCTCAGCACCATCAATGCCACCAGGGTTTCCTGCCCCTGTCTCCCAGTTGGGATTCTCTTGTCCTTTGGTTTCCAGAAATTCGTGGAACTGCTCCTTGGTGGTGAGGTATCTATTGCAGAGAGGGAAGGAAAGAAGGGGTTGCATGAGGGGCCTCCCTAGTGGTGCAGTGGTTGAGCGCTGGGCCGCGAAGCTGCCCGCAGCCTCTGCTGCGCTGGTTCAATCCGTGGCCACTGGCGAGGGTCCCACATGGCGCACAGACCTCCCCTGCCGCCAGCTGCTCCCCTCAGCAGGGTATTTCGTCAGTCTGCCTGTTCTGCTCCCCGCTCTGGCTCTGGTGAATTCTCTCACCCTCCCGCGCTTCTGACTGTACCCAGCGCTTGTATAAATAAATAAATAAAAATCTTAAAAAAAAAAAAAAAAAAAGAAGGGGTTGTGTGAGCCCTCTTGGAGCTCAGACCCCATGAACGCTGGGGAAGGAGACTGAAAACACTTGACGCTGCTTATATGCTTCTCCTTCTGCAAACTGCCAGCCCTGCCGGGGGCACCTCGGATCACAGAAAGGATCTATTCTGGGGCCTCCTGGTGGCGCAGCGGGTTGAGCGCAGAGCTGTGAAGCTGTCCGCAGCCTCTGCAGCGCGGGTTCAATTCCCGGTCGGCCGGGGAGATGCCCACATGGCGCGGCGGACCTCTCCTGTCTCCCCGCTGCTCCCCTCAGCAGTGTATTTCAGTACATCTGCCTATTCTGCTCCTTGCTCTGTCGCTGGTGAATCCTCTCACCCTCCCGCGCCTCTGGCCTGTACCTCAACTATTGTGTAAATAAAAAAAATTCTAAAAAAAAAAGAAAGAAAGGATCTATTTTGTTCCTGGCTTCCTACTGACAGATACCCGTAATTTAGCTCAACTAACCTTCAGATCTCAGGCACGAGTCCCTGGCTGCCTTCGGCTACAAGAAACTACCAGTCCCAGCATGCCATGCAATGGAGTCCGCAACAGCCACATTTCCCAGCATGCTCTTCAGCCCCCACACGCCCCAGCATGCCCCGCGGTACTCGCTTCACGCAAGTCCCAGCCAGTAACTCGGGCCGGAGGTGCGAGTCGGGCCACACGCTAGGACTACAGTCCCCAGCATGCAGCTGCGGCCCTCGTTGCAAGCCCCGCCCACCCCAGCACGAAGCTTCCTGCATGTGACAGCAGCCAACGTGCGCGATCTCAGCTACGGCCGCTGACGCTGCGGACGGAGGAGCGCCTGGAACTGAAGACCGTGGGAGCTTCCCGCCCGGGGCCGGGCCCCACGTCCCGACATGCACCGCTCCGGGCGCTCTACGGGTGCTGGGAGGGCTCCGTGAGCGTTCCCTGCCCCGGCGACTCACTGGCGTTTAATGGGCGCCACTCCGCAGTCCGGCGCGCCGGCTCCCGAGTCGCCGCCGCTGCCACTCCTTGCCGGCGCCTCCGCCTCTCCCCCCGCCATCGGCCCCCCTCACGCCCGCTTAAGAGTGCCGGGAAGGCCTTCCGGGTCGTGCGTGTGTCCCCTGCCGCGCGGGGAAATACGCATCACCAGCCCGCCCGAGGGACGGCTCGTGCGTGCGCAGGCGCGGGGGGCGGGGCCTGCGGGGGGCGGGGCTCGGGGCTCCCCTCGCCTGAGCTCTGGGGGCGCCGGCCAGAGATGGTCGGTGGTGTGAGGGCTGGAGGGCTGGCCGGCGGTGGCCCCGACGTGTTTTGCTTTCCTGCTGTTTTTCTGTGTTTTAATTTTTTTTAAAGATTGATTATGCATGCGAGAGCTGGGGTACAGGCCAGAGACGCGGGGGGTGAGAGGATTCACCAGAGACAGAGTGGGGAGCAGAACAGGCAGATGGAGCAAAATACACTGCTGAGGGGAGCAGCGGGCGAGACAGGAGAGGTCTCCCGCGCCATGTGGGTAGCACCCTGGCTGGGGATCGAACTCGTGCTGTAGTAGCTGCGGATAGCTTCACGGGTTGCATCTTAACCCCTTGCGCCTCCAGGGAGGCCCTGTTTCTTAAATTTTTATTTTAAATTCCACTATTTCTACACGGGGTGTTCATTCAGCAAATAATTGTCGAGTGCCTAGGTGTCAACACAGGTGCTGCCCTCGATGCCACGGACAGCAGAGAAAACACATGCGCACGCAGAAAATCCCTGCCTTTAAGAGCTCCCATAGGAATGGGGGAGCAGACAATAAATTTAAAACATAAGTAAATGATACCTATATTAGACGACAATGAAACAGGGAAAGGAAGTGGGAAGACCATTTTTCGTGGTTGCAGTTTTTAATAGGATGATGGGATGACATTGGCATACTTTTGAAAGGAGTGAAGAGGGAGGCATAAGGACATCAAAAGAAAAAGTGTTTCAGGTAGAGGGAACAGCCTCTGCAAAGGCCTTGAGGCACGACCTGCCTGGTGTGATTGGAAGAACAGCAAGGTAGACCCCTGTGACTGGAACACAGTGAGCAGCGAAAGGAAGAGAGGGAGGAGGTGAAGCTAGGGAGCTGAGGGACTGGGAGCAGGTGGTAACTGTCTTATGGGCTGCAGGGAGGATTTGGGCTTTTCAGAAACCCAGGTGTCACCACAACTTTTCCAAGCACATTGAAACTTACAGTAAGTAAAGTGGAAGGAATGTTCTGAGGCACAATGAACTGCTCACAGTCACCTAGTCATGTTATCTTATTTTATGCTCTAGAAAATAACAGCACCTGTTGGGCTTATATGTCTTGTCTTTCAGGGCAAACTATAACAGAATAAGAACTGTAGTTTTCATAACAGTGTCAAAGAGAATGATAGATCCCAGGACTTAACAAAACCGAACCTAACTGAAGCAACAACCAAGGAAAAGCATGCAGTGACAGATGTTGCCAAATGAACCACACATTCCCATCCCTTGTCCCCCTGCTTTCTAAGTTCTTTGCTTGCTTTTCCTATAAAAGAGATTTCTTTGCCTCTTCTCAGGGAGAAGGTAACTGAAGGACACGAACTCTCCCTATTCTGTTCCACCATCAATCAATAAAATTTCTTCTCTGCTAGTCGAACAGGTCTCACTTCTTTGGCTCCAGTGACACCAGACAAGAGACCCCTGTTGAGCAAATAAGGAGCTCTCCCCATTGTGGGGTTGGTAACACAAATAGAGAAGAGGGTTGACAGAGCTGTTAGCCAGAGAGGACAGAGTGCAGCCACCACTTGCCATAGTCTCCACCATGCCTCATTGTGTGCCCCCCCCCAAAAAAAAACTATGTTCCTACAGGATGTTTGATGCAACACAGGGAGTTCAGGACCCTGATTTCAATCTGCTAAGGCTCAAACCCCAGTCCATGCACTTAGCAGTTTAGGAATATTGTTACTTGACTTCTCTGTGCCTCAGTCTCCTCATCAGAAAAATGGAGCAGGTAAAAATATCTCTTTTAGAAGGTGTGAACATTAATATATACAAACCCTACTTAATTAAGTTCTAGGGGATGGAAAGAGTGTCCAGGTAGGCACGGATCAGCAAACTACAGGATCAAGCATACCTTCCATCTCCCAAAGGAAGTGATACCTGTTTCTACCTTCAGCAGAACTGCGGGGGCGGGCCTCAGTTATTATATAGGCGATTATTAGCCTGGGACTCGGGTAGCACACGTCTCACCATGAAAGCACGGTCCAATCTGCCCGCTCTTGCGGTGTTTTTGAATAAATCCACTTTGCTGTTGGAATAACTGATTGCCTGTGTTTGAGGTCATTAAATAACTATCAATATATGTTACTGACTACTATTGTTATTTTGCATTATCGTCATCATCGAATTAACTGGACATGGTACAAGGTGGAAATCCTTAACTGCACTTATATTTTACTCTTAAACCTTCACAAAGCTTTCCTGGGGAGGGAAGTGAGGCAGGGTCTGATGGGAAACTGAGGCCCAAGGAGGGAAAAGATTTGCCTGAAGCTGGGAACCAGCTTTTCCAAGACTTAGGAGAAAACAGAAGGAGGTGGGGACCAGAACAATTTGTCATCCATCTCTGGCCTTGGCTGCCCTCTGTAGGACAATCTGGGAATAAAATGGTGGAACTGGGGGGAGACCCAGCCTAAGAAACCAACTGCAGTCCTTGTGACACTTCTTACCCAGCCCTCTTAGCCACCTCAAGGGACAGGAGCTCATTTCTGAGGTGCCCCACCCATTGAGGATCTACCAATAGTCTCCCCCCATCCTCCCAGGCAGGGGCAACAGTGGACAGCTAGGGAAACAAGTGCAAGGAGTGCAACCTCAGGAATATGTCTCCTTTCTTAGGGCCTCAGCCTCTAAGGAGAGCTCTTCCAGTGCTCTCTGGCCCTGCGAATGATTGCCTACCCTCTCTGTAAGTCAATCCAGGAAGGCTTCCTGTAGGAAGACAGAGGCTGTGACCTGGCCATTGATCACCATGCTATAAATGTTAATTACATAATAATAATAACAATAATTACATAATAATAATAATGCATCATATTATGATGGCATAGTATTGTTAATCAGTAACTAAATATTTACTGAGCACTTGCTGTATACCAGCCCTCCATCTAAGGCCCTTCTCATGCATTAACTCACAATCCTCTGACTCTGACCAGTATCCCTGGAATGCAGAGGTCCCTAGTCTGGGGGATCAACCCACTGTCCTCAACCAGAAACCAAGATATCAGCCTCTCCTCTTGCCTTCTCCCCCGCCCCACAGCCACAGCCTGTTGGTGCCCATGTCCTACCTACTTTCTCTCCAGAGTCTCTGTCCCCTCTCCCATCACCTAGCCTTCCAGCCTCAATCCAATGTTGTGGTGCAACAGCCCAGCCTCCACAGCTTTCTAAAAAACATGTGACTGTGCCCTCCTGGGCTCTCTGTCCTGCCAGGGCTCCCTACTTCCTATTGCCCCTGCTCCAAGTCACATCCCTGGAGTTCCTGTGTGAGCCAGTCCCTATTGCCTTCCCCAGCTCCATCCCGCATCGCCCCTCACTCCCTAAACTCAAGTGCCAGTGTCTTGCCTCCCAGCCCTCGCATCTGCTGTTCCTTCTTCCAGGAGGACTGCCCTCTTCCCAGGCACCTTGCTCCTTCCACTCACCCTGTAGTGCTCAGTCTCTTCTCTGGAAGACACTCCGGCTGCCCCCTTCTTGGGATGGGTCTAGTGTTCCCTTCAGGCCCTGTACTGCCTGAGCATCCCCATCACGGCCCTGATCACCCTGAGTCAGACAGGATGGCAGAGTGCTCTGCCTCCGCAGCCCTGTGTCCCCAGCCCCCAGAGCTGGCCCCGTGTAGCCCTGGAGATGCAGGACCCTGAGGGAGATGCCCCTCCCCCAGGGCTCCCGACCTTGACCAATGTTAGGAAGGAGGGAGACAGGTGGCACTGCTCCCCACCCCTGTAAGTGGGGAGACTTAGGTACCAAAGTGGGCGTGGAGCAGGAGCTTCTGCTCTGCTTATTCACTGACTTTCCCGCTCCCCGCTCGCTCTCTCTGTGTCCGTCTCTGTGGGTCCCTCTCTCTCTTACTCTCTGTGTTTCTCTTACCTTCCAAGTCTTGATTCTCTCCCTCTGCCCAGCATCCCTCTCTCTCTCCCCCTCCCTCCCCTCTCTCCCCCCACTGCATCTCTCTCTCCCTGGCTCTAGCTCCCTCCCTCTCCCGCAGCCCCTCTCTCTGCGCCCTCTTGTCTCCCTGCTCTCACTCTGTCTCTTCCTCTCTCCCTTCCTCTGTGTGTGTCTTTTTTCTGTCTCTTTCTCCTCATCCCTATCCCCTCCCCTCCCAGCCCCCCCAGACCGGATAGGGGTGGCAGCGCCGGGCAGGTGCGGTGTGGGCTTGGTGCCCATCTCTGCCCAGGGCCACCCCGGATTTGTGGTTGTGCCTCCTTTATCTGGGACTGCAGCTGCCCCTTATCTTCTGGCTTCAGGGCACGAGACTGGGATTAGGGCGCCTGGGCCAAGGACATGAGGCGGGCAGCCGGTCGCCATGAGTCGTTCTGGGGTGTGCTTGGGTCACCCAGAGCCAGGGAGCTGGGGCTGCAGCTGTATGTGTGTGTGACAGTGTATGTACATTTGCGTGTTTGGCCTCTGTGTGTCTGTGGGTGTGATGCTGTACACACGCTGGTAGCTGTGACTACTGAGCATATGACTTGGGGTGTCTGCGTGTGTAATTGTGCGTCTGTGTGAGTGTGTGTCTATTGTGTGTCTCCCTGTGTGACTGTGTATATATTTGTGACTTTTGCATGTGGCTCTGTGAGTGTGAGATGATGTAGACACAGCTGTGACTTCTGCTCACGAGTGTCTGCGTGTACATGCTTGTCTACGCGTGTATGAGTGTGCATGTGACAGTGTGTATGCATGTGTGGCTCGTGGGAGTCTGTGTCTGTCTGCATTTCCATGAGCTCTCATGAGAGCCCCAGGCCCTGCCCTGACCCACAGGTGCCCACACAAGCCCAGGTCCAGCCCTGCCTGGCTCCCTGGGGCTGGCCTGATGGCTTTTCC